TTCTTTACCATAAAATTATCCTTGATTTGGATCTTATGGTAAGCTTCAGTGGTATAAAAAATTAGGAAAGAGGCAGCCTGCCCTCAGTGGATGAAGAACTGGCCTCATTGTCAAGAAGAGCTGGGTTTGGGTCCCACTTCCAACGCATATTGGCTAGGTGACCTTGGTGGATCACAAAGTTCAATGAAAAATTTCAAGAGGGAAAACTCATCTTTAGCTGGTGGGGATTGGGATGAAAGAAAGGAGCCTGAGCTTCAGTTTCAGTTAGGGAGGAGAGAGCTGGGCCTTTAAGGGTGAATTTCAGTAGATAGGAGTCATGGGGATGGGCTCAGGAAGGAATATGCTAGCATACATGTACTTATGGACCTCTGATTCTTTTACTTCTGATCCTCAGTTTTCTATCCAACTATTTTTTGATCTAACAACAACTATTAGAACAGTAGTATAAAGCACTGGTCTGAGGACACATAACTTAGTTCTTACTAGCTTTACTAGAAGTGGAGGTTGTGAGATGCACAGTTGTAGAAAATGGTTTGCTGTATCTTCTCATAATTAAAAAATCTGAATAAATCCCTAGTTTTTAAAGTTCTATAACACTATATCCTTGAGTCCATTCTCCCTTTCAGGATTACCAAAGTTGAATTGTAGCCAGCTGGATTTCATTCAAGACCGTATTTCTAACTCATTCCAACAGCTGAGACCATGATGTTTCTGAATTTGTCACAAAGAACTCTCTGCATATTTGTGGCATTGAATATGAGTGAATTCTGCATGTGGAATTACTTTAGTTCAGGCCCTCACTTCTTGTCTCCTAGACTTAAAATAGTCTTCCAACTGGTCTTCCTGTCTCTATCATACGCCCCCTCCAATCTACCCTTCCCATTGCTGCCTGAAGTATCTAATATGCTGCTTTGATTATCATTCCATTAAAAATTATAGGTGACTCTTTATTGCTTATGAAATACAAAATATTTCAACATGAAATAAAGTATAAATTCCTCATATCAGTGACCAAAGCCTTCCATAATCTGTCTCCAATGGAATTACATTAACAATGTTAGCTCATACTAGTCTTTCGCATGCTTTACATTCTAGCCAAATGAAACCATTCTTCTTCCCTGGTCTTGTCCTGCCCTCCCTTACCTATAGGCCTTAGTTCATAAAATGCCCTGACCCTGGCCCCAGTCCCCACCATCTCTGCATGTTGAATGAAGTTCTCCCTTAAAGGCCCAGCTCTGATGCTGCCTCCTCCCTGAAGGAAGCCCATCTTTCTTTGTCTCCTCTGAACCCCCAACCAATTAAAGGTGATTTTTCCCCCTTGAAATTTTTATCACACTTTGCCCAGACTCTTCTTTTGCATGTATCAATTCTATTTTCCCTTGCTATTTTGTATTTGTTAATATGTATAGTTTGCTATTTGTATGTGTCTCTTTTCTTCCCTATTAGATTATAAGTAAATTTTTATGGCAATATATTTTTTAAAAAATAAATTGTTGAATTGAACTGGAAATCTGCTCATCAAAAACTTTCCTAGTATAATTAATCTACTAGATGTTTTCAAACTGAGTTTTTGCACTGATGGGCTGTAGAGGAGAAGATCTTTCCCAGGGCTGCTGATGCAGAGCTGGGCTCGGCAGCTCCTGGTCCCTGGTCTGAGCTGCCAACACTCCTGATTGCAGCCCAGCCAGTTGTGAATTTTCCACTGTTGCATGAAGTCAGTTTATAGCCAATGCAGATAGAATCTGTGCTGTTCACCAATCTCAGGGTGTGACTGAGAGTTTTAATAATTTTCTTTTCCTTAAAACTCTACTTAGCTGCTTTGGTCTTGTTTGTTTTTAATAAGTTAAATTGAAATGCATCTATATTTCATGAAATTAAAACTTTTGCATTGTGGCAGAACAGTCTTAGTTGAGTTCTCTGAATTGGAAATTATTCATCTCAGAACTTGTATATGTGTTAACTTTAAGTGCTTAAGTGTATAGATATTAGACATGGAGTAAAAATGACAGTGGTAGTTTTTTAATTCATCATAATGCACCTGGTAGCTCTGGCCTTTATAAGTACAAATGTGACTAAGCTGTACAAATTATTTTGGCCACACGTTATATTGTAGTGGAAAGCCAACTTCCTTTTGTTGAAAGTTCTGATGGCTTTTTTGCTCTGTGTGTGTGTGTGTGTTATTTGTAGTACAGAGATTGGGTGGCCTTGCTGCTGTTAGCACATGCCAGCATGTTCAGTCATCAACAGTTGTTTCCCAGTTGTCAGCATACCCTAAAAGTATGACTGACCCTTCTATGGCTGTCTGTTCTACTTTAGCTTTCTATTAAAAAAAATTCCATATTCAGCTGTCCCCTATTTTTCTTGGATGACCTGTCAACATGATGCCTACTCTTCCTTAATGTGGCTTTATTATTATAGAGTCACTGACTCACTCTTTGATTGGGCACAGGTGATATTAGTGAAATTTGTCCAGTAATTAAATAATAACTGGAAAATCCCAGTCTTTTGCCAGTAAAACAAATCATACACTTACTGGTGCTTTTAAATTTTGTTTTCTGTCTTGGCGTAACATCTTAAAGATTCCAAGAATTGGGCCAATATGGTAATACCTGTCTATAATCTTTGCTGCTGGAGAGGCTGAGCCTGATGGATCACCTGAGCTGGGGAGTACAGTAGGGCTAAAGCTGATAAGGTATCTACACTAAGTCTAAATACCAATATGGTGCTTCCTGGGAGCAGGGAGCCACCAAGTGGCATTGGAAGGGGCAAAATGACCCAGACTGGAAACAAGCAGATCAAGCCTTCTTTGCCAATCAAAATTAGGATTCTAGCCTGGGAAAGATAGAAAGATAGAAAGAAATTTGATACAGTGGTTTTTTTTTCCTCTCATTTGATCCTTTCTTATTCTAGATGCATTTATTTTGTCTGTGCTGAAGTTTTTCAGGTAATCAGTTCTCTCTCTTTCCCTCTCTCTCTCTCCCTCTCTCAGATACACACACACACACACACACACACACACACACACACAAATGCCTCAATCTCTTGTTTTCTTGTTTAGTTAAGACTGTATCTCTTACCCATGTATGATCTTTAATATTAAGTTAGCATGTCCATTTAAATGTATTATGAAATATGGCATAAGGTGTTGGTCTTAGTTTAATATCTGCCAGAACGCTTTCCAGTTTTCCTAGCAGTTTTTATTAAATAGTTCTTTCCTAAATAATTTGTGTTTTCTAATTTATGGATTATTGGGTTTCATGGTTTATGCTTCTTCTTTGTCTGGTCTCTGACATATCTTTAATCAATAATAAAGATATTTTTAGAAAGTTGGTATAAATGTAATTATTGATCATGATTCCAGAGGACCAATGGTGAAGAATGCTACCTGCTTCCTCACACACATTTTTAGAGATGGCTAGTATGGAAATTTGTTTTGCTTGACTGTGTACATTTGTTAAAAATAAATAAATACACAAATACATACATACATACATACATACATACATACATAAATGCTTGATACTTGAAAAAAAATTAATTGTAAAAAGAAAGCTGCTGTAATTCCCAAGTGAGCTTTGCCATTATTTTGGGAAGATTTATGTGAAAGAAGCAGAAAAAGAATTAGTTGTTAGCAATGATGACAGTTGTTTTTGTTTGATTATTGAATATATGTGGTAGCTGCATGACACTGAGAAAATATCTAGAAGCTTAAGTGTGTGATTAGAGGCATGATGACTCCCACACTACTTCTGGCTTTCAAGGATCATCCTTGCCCTACATAAGGAAGAATAAAGCCAGCCTATTTCTCATTACGTAAGCCCCACTTTAAATGACTTATGTGGATGACACCTAGACCTACCAAAATAGTGGTTAATTGATCAGTGAGTGGTTATTTTAGAAACAGAATTGTACGGTTGCTTTTTACTTTTCCTGGTACATTCAGCTTTACCATCTGCAGAATGAGGATATGTTTTAATTGGTGTTGTGATGTTTTTAATTTACTTTTTCTTTATTTATTACAAATTTAACAACCAACAACAACCACAAACTTCTATTGTTTGCTGGTTTTTTAAAATGCATATTAACTTTAACGAGGTTAAAGGACTAAGCAGATAACTGTCCTTTCCTCCTGGCCAAATATGTTTAGTTCTGGCTCTTGGCTGAACAGTAGTAGCTAGAGGAGGTTGAAGTATCCAAGATCATGAAAGGCCTTGAGGTCATAACCATATAGACCTGTTAGAGGAGCTGGTGATAGTATAGCAAGAAGAGAAGACTAAAGGCTGGGGAGAAGATGGGGTTGATTGATAGGTATGTTTAAGTATTCCCTTTCAAAGAGGAAATAATTTGTTCTCCTTGGCCCCTGAGGGCAGACCCATCAGCATTGGATAGAAGTGAGAAGCAGATGTAGTCTTGCTGTAAGGAAAAACTTCCTAATACTTGGGGTTATTCAAAAGTGGCATGAGTTGCCTTTGGAAGCAGTGTTCTCCCAGATTAAAATATTCAAGCAAAGTCTGGGTGACCACTTGCAGGGTACATTGTAGAGGATTTTCCTGTTCAGATGTGGTTGGACCAAGTGGCCTCTCAGATCCCTTCTAACACTGAGATTCTATGATTCCGTGAAAATAGCCAGTTGGTTTCTATGTCCTCTTTGGAATGTCGTTTTATTTTATGTTTATTTGTCTAGATTTGGTTGCTGTTGTTAATCTTATTATTTACATAGTTATATGTAACAAGTGTTGTCTTTTGGTTCCTTATTTACTCTGCATTATTTCATATAACTCATCCCACATTTATTTCTAGTTTTCATATTTATCTTTTCTTACAGGGTAGTAATATTTCCATACCATGCCTCACTTAAGCCACTCCCCATTTGTTAGACACGTGAGCTGTTTATAGCTTTTTGCTATTAGTGCAGTGCTTTTGTTCAAAATCATCAAATGATTATTGAGTGCCTGTCATTGTGTTCTTCCATTAAAGTCTTTCTCTAATACCTCATCCAGCTGCAAAGGCAAGCCTGGGTTCTTGAAGGTCACATCAGTGGAGCATAAATTCTGGCCTGCCCCACCAGAATGAAAAGGCTTTGAGCATATGAGTCTGGACCTGGACTTCGCAGTGGATTCTGTATCTCTTTGAGAATCAGCCTTGGTGGGTTGAAAGAGGTCTGTCACCAGATAGTTGGCCACCAGGTAATGGTGGGAGGTGGTGGGTTACACAGTAACACATTTAGAAGTTCTACTAAAGTACGGAAGGATTATGATCTGCATGGTTATAGGGAGTATGCGCGGTGACTGATGAAATCACATATTCTTTGACACATTAAAGAAGTGCTCGGCACTGATGCTTAGCTAGTTAGTGTTCATTAAGAGAGTCTAGCTCCGTGGATGAGAGATATGGTGGCTAATAGAATTATAGATATTTTTATAGTGGAAGTTAACTTAGAGGTTATCTACTTCGGTGCTTTCTTGGCCCCCTCCACATATATAGAATCCCCTCAACATCATCCATAAAAGTATTTAAGTGAGTTAAAAAAATTCGCTTGTTTTCTACTATTTAATTCTGTTCTCTGTTTTAAAAGGGTTCTTATCCCTTTGTTCATTAATCAGGGGAAACAGTTGGACCACATGCCTTGACATTCAGTTGAACATCTAAAATTAGGCATGTTACATTCAGTTGCTGAGGGGACAGTTTCAGTACTTCATGGCATTCATTGGATAGAACTTGCAAGTGCAAGTATTCAGAAACAAGTAAGTGACTTCTGGCTATGTACGTGTCTCTGTGTGTATGTATCCACATGCCTGTCTAACTGAAGGTTGAAAAATAGAAAATTGTATCTTTTTCACAAATTCTGTTTGCTATACAAATCATCTCTCTGCAGTGTGCAAATTAACAGGTCATTTCACAAAAGACTCATAGCTATTGAAATCTTGGGAGTGTATAATATACTTTTTCTAAGTATGTGTGGCTTTTGTTGTTGTTAAACAGTATGTACTATGCTGTGTTTAATGAGAATGCTTTACTTTTTCTCTCTCCACAGTTAAAATCTATCAACCTACAGTAATGGCATCATGCTTGTATGAATGTCTTTGTGAGGCAGAACTTGGAAAATATTACCCTCATTTTTCTGCCTTTGGCCTTCAGAAAATAGATGAATTAGCTAAAGTCACAATGAAAGACTACTCCAAATTGGGAGTCCACAATATGAATGACCGTAAGCGACTCTTCCAGCTCATTAAAATCATTCAGATCATGCAGGAAGAAGATAAAACCACTAACAACACCCAGCAAGATCTTCCAACAAGTAACCTCCATGTCCACCCTCAAAGAGCCAGATCAGGACCTCGAAGGCAACTGTGCTTTGATGCTCTTGTTGACAAACAAGAACAAACACCTGAGGATTTTGCATTTGACACATGTAGTCTGTCAGACTTCTGTTCAGCTGAACACAAACCCAATTTAGTAGATATGCTGGAGCATATTCTGCCAGGTGATACCCAGTACAATAAAAAGCCAAGAACTCCTAATGCTTCAGTTGCTGATACAAGTGTGCAAACAGAAACAAACAGTACAGCATTGTTTTCATCAAATAACCTTTCTCCACTTTTGGGGGATATTGAGGTCCCTACCATACAAAGAGTCCCTCACATTTCTGGATATAATTATGGAGTCCCTCATTCTTGTGTCAGGTAATCATTCATTTTGATTTATTTTTCTTTGGGCTAGCTGATGACAAGCACAGTATTTCCCTTTAGGAGTTTAAGAAAGATACCATTCTCTAAGCAAAGTCCAGTATTTTGCAAATTATAAAATGCTATGGAAATGTAAAGGGTTGTTTTTTATTATTAATTTTCTGTTAATGATGTAATATGGAAATGAAGCAACAAATACGTGTGTTGATAAAATAAAAATCCCTATGAGAAGAAAGCATTCATAAAATATTGGGATTTTCCAGATCAGTGAAATTATATTGGGTAGCTGCTAGCTAGAATCTACAAAGTATAGGCTGTGTTCAGTGGTGTGCTGGCAAATGTTTAAAAAGTGACTCTCCAAATACAGAGGACATAACATTTTTTAGTTCAATTCTGCGTTGTTAACATTTTTTCCATTGCTTTCTAAAGTCTAAACAGTCCACAAAAGCAGTAAATCAAACCCTGATTGTAGTGTTTGCTGATTTCCGAGGTGTAAATATCTGCACTGAAAATTTAACAATTGACTCTGAAGCCTGCACAACTGGCAATAGCACACTCTTGGCTGTATTTCTGTAAAGCTTCTCTCATTCTTGACCTGGGGCTCCTTCTCCTGTTCAGTGAAATACAACCCAGGTATGATTTTACACAAAGGGCAAAACTGTGAGATGAACATAAAGAATTAACTGGTGGCCTTCTGCAGTGGAAGAGCCAAGCCACTCACAGAACAGTTTTTCTTAGGATATCAATTTATCACTTTTTAAAGTGCCATATAGGATTTAGCACTTATAAAAGTAAATAACTAATAGCACTAAATTAAAATAGTCCTTTGTAGAGCTTGCCTGTAGCATAATCCTGATTGAAAGCACCCAATGCTTTTCTAGTCCTGGATGAACAGCCATTGTTAATGAAAGCAAAGATTGGAGTCATTTTTATCAAATGTATGGTTTGAATGTATCCTTTTCACATTTGCTTGAAGTTAGAACTTAAAAATAAGGTCCCTCGAGGTGTAACACGAAGCAATAACAACCATTTTTCTCTCCTCAACAGTGTCATAGAAAATAAATTCTAAAAATTGCTTTTTTCTTTAAATAGTATTTTATTTTTTCCCTAGTTACATGTAAAGACAAATTTTAACATTTATTTTTTAAAATTTTGAGTTCCAAATTTTCTCTCTCCCTTCTTCACCTCCCCCATCCCTGAGACAGTAAGCAATTTGATATAGGTTATACATGTTCATGTAAAACATATTGCCATATTAGTCACGTTGTAAAAGAAGACCCAAACCTAAAGGAAAAAAAAGACATGAAAAAAATACAGAAAGTGAAAAATAGTATGCTTCAATCTGCATTCACATTCCATCAGTTCTTTCTCTGGAGGCAGATAGCATTTTTCATCATGAGTCCTTTGGAATTATCTTGAATCATTGTATTGCTGAGAATAGCTAAGTCATTCATAGTTGGTCATTGTACAGTTTGCTGCATCTGTGTACAATGCTCTCCTGGTTCTGCTCACTTCATTCTGCATCAGTTCATTCCAGGTTTTTCTGAAATCATCCTGCTCGTAATTTCTTTTAGCACAATAATATTCCATTACAATCATATGACACAACTTGTTAAGCCATTCCCCAATTGATGGGCAGTCCCTCAGTGTCCAGTTCTTTGCTACTACAACAAATGAGCTGCTATAAATATTTTTGTAAAAATAGGTCCTTTCCCCTTTTTTTGATCCCTTTAGGATGCAGACCAAGTAGTGGTATTGCCAGCTCAAAGGGTATGCATCATTTTAGAGTCCTTTGAGCACAGTTCCAAATGGCTCTCCAGGATGATTGGATCAGTTCACAACTCCAGTAGTGCATTAGTGTCCCAATTTTCCCACGTCTCATCCAACGTTTATTATTTTCCTTCTCTGTTATATTATCCAATCTGATAAGTGTGAGGTGTGGTACCACAAGTTGTTTCAATTTGTATAAAAATCTCTTTTAAAATAAACTTCTGTGCAAAAGTAAATTGGTCCATAGTTTCAAACAGTATTTCATATCCACTCCCCTTGTTTTGTTTTATGTTTGTTATTTGTTTTATGCATATTGCTAAGGTTAAGGTTATTAAATTGGTAGATCAAACCAAACCTCTGGTAGATAGAACCAGAAAGATGTGTTTGATTATAATGTAGAACCAAGCAGTGGAAGAAGATGGAACCAATTACAAAATCTCCTTAGAAACCTAATGTTGGTTTAGCAAATAAGTATGACAAATACTGTGTAATAGAAAAAGAAAGAGAGAAGGATGGAAGAAACAGGATATAGTGAAGGACAGAATGTATCAAAAAAGAACATTTAAGGTGACACAAAGAGGAACAGAAAATTGATATTCAGTACTGTTCTACCTAAATTCAACAAGTTTGGTTACTTTATATGGAAAAGAATTAGAAAAATGGTCAGGAAAAGAGTAATTCATGGGAATAATTGGATAGTGAGGGAGATAAAATATGAATTGGGAGTTTTAAAAGTTGGGGATGCGGACAGACTTTTCACCATATTCAAAAGATTAGTCAGAATGAATTGTATTAAACCTAGAGAAAGAATATCCACAATCAAAAGCTTTTCAGAAAGAACTCTACATCTAATTCCCTAAATTCAAAGTCTTTTATCTTAAGAAGATCTTAATTGCCTAGAGACTTAGGAACTAAATAGTAAAATTTTTATTCAGTACTTTGTCAGGAATTACACCAAAATCAGCAATTAACACTAAATTAAGAATGGGTGATGGATGGCATTTAAACACATTTACAGACAAACTTAGTTGTTAAAGTATTTGAAACAGAAACAAAAGCAGTTTTCACTTTTACGATAATTTTTCAATTTTTGCGCTTCTACAAAGTAACAAATACAGAGTAGTCCAGAAGTCTTAGTGCAGTTTTACGCTTTAATAAGTATTAAAGCTTATTAATTATTGGTTAATAACCTTTTAAAACATAAAAACTAGTTATTATTTAATAAGGTTAAAGCTTAAAAAGGCACTAAGACCTGTGCTTAGAGATAGCATTCATCATCTTCATCAGAACTACCAATCAATCATTCTTAAACATGTGCAAGGTGATAAAAACCTAATGAGACCATTTAATAATAGGAATACCAAAATTTACAATTAAACATACTTTTGTGTTAACTTCAACATTTTCTTTTCTTTTAATGAAAATCATTTTAAAACTTGTTTCAGAGAGAATATCTCAGAGAAGGATAATGTTTGGACTGAAACTGAGAAAATCAGAGTATGTGTAAGGAAACGCCCTCTGGGCTTAAGGGAAGAAAGACGTGGAGAAATTAACATTATTACAGTAGAAGATAAAGAAACTTTACTTGTGTATGAAAAGAAAGAGGCGGTTGACCTTACCCAGTATATTTTGCAGGTATGATGCTACCTTTAAATTTTGAACTAATTTATATTTGTGTTGTAAAGAATGTTAACTTTGATCTTTTTATTAGAATATCTTAGAATCTTATTGAGAGAGACTTGAGAGATGGAACATCCTACCCAGTGAACATCCTCCACACCCTCCTTGAAATACAGTTCTCCTTAAATATGTCCCTTAATGATTATCACAGTATCACAAAATAGCAGGTTCCATTTTTAGACTTTAGTTGTTAGAAAGTTCTCTCTGGCTACTCAGAAAGTACTCTCTTGCTACTTTCACATATTTGAAAGTCCCTCTTGCGGGGCAACTAGGTGGCACAGTAGATAGAGCTCTGACCTTGGAGTCAGGAGGACCTGAGTTCAAATCCAACCTCAGACACATGACACTTACTAGCTATGTGACCCTGGGCAAGTAACTTAACCCCGACTGCCTCACCAAAAAGCAAAAAAAAAAAAAAAGTCTCCCTTGTTTCCCACCCCCTACCCCATGAGACTTCCCTTTTTTTCCAGACTAAAAGTAGCAGCCTGTGAGTTCTATTGCAGGTTCAGTATTTGTCTGACCTTGGGCAAGTCAGTCTCTCTGTGCCTCAATTCTTTTTTACAAGCAAAATTAAGATATTAATACAACAAATCACAGGGATTTGGGTCAAGTCAACAAGCATTTATTAAACACCGTTTCAGGCATTGTGCTCAGCTCTAGGGATACAAAGGAAGGCAAGAAACAGTCCTTGCTCTCAGGAACTTCACAGTCTAATGGGGGAGGTGACACGAAAACAACGCTGAACAAATGAGATCTATACAGGATAAATTGGGGATAATCAACAGAGGAAAGGCGCTAGCATTAAGGGGGATTGGGCAAGGCTTCCTGTAGAAGATAGGATTTTAACTGGTACTTGAAACCAGGAATCCAGGAGGAGGAAATGAGAAGGGAGAGAATGCCAAGTATGGCAGACAGTAAGAATGTAAAGTTGCAGATGGAGTGTCTTTTGCAAGGAACAGCAAGGAGGCCAGTGTCACTGTATTGCAGAGTATGTTGGGGTGAGTAAGCTAAAAGAAGACTGGAAACCTAGGAGAAGGCCCAGCTATGAAAGGTTTTGAATGCCAAATGGGATTTTCAAATTTGTTCCTGGAGGATATGGAGCCAGTGGAGTTGATTGATGGGGGATTGATTGATGGGGGACAACATGATCAGTAATATGCTTTAGGGAGATCAGTTTGACAGCTTAGTGGAGATAGAATGGGGAGACTTGAGGCAGGGAGATCAACCAGCAGGCCATTGCAATAGTCCAGCCTTGAGGTGATGAGGACCTACCCCAGGATGGTGGCAGTGTCATAGGAGAGAAGGGGAGTATTGTGAGAGATGTTATGAAGGTAAAATTGACAGGCCTTCACAACAGATTGGATATAAGGAATGGGAGACAGTTGAAAGTGAGGAGTTAATGACACCTAAGTTGGGAGCCTGGGTGATTGGGGAAAATGGTAGTGTCCTCCACAGTAATGGGAAAGATGGAAAATGGGGGGGGCACTTAGGGAGGAAAGATTATAAGTTTGGTTTTGGACACGTTGAGTTTAAAATGCCTATGAAATAACCACTTTGAGATGGCCAATGGAGATATGTAGTTAGAGACTAGAGGTCAGGAGAAAGGTTAGAGCTAGATACATAGATCTGAGAATCATAGGCAGAGAGATAATAATTAAATCCATGGTCACTGATGAGATCACATGAAGGATTTTATGTCCAACCCAGAAGACTTTAAATAAATAACTTGAGTTATGGGGTGGGGAAGTTCCCATTCCTTGTCAAAATGATGTTAAGAACTCAAAGCTAATCGAAAGGTAAAATCTTCACAGTTTATTGGCACTTGCTTCAGATTAGCTGGAACCCTCTTTGATAACTATTTTGGGCATAGAAGTACTTTTACATTATTGAACAATACATAACAAAGATGTAGGATGTTAATATAATCATTTCACAGTTTGCCTTTTTCCCTCCCCACTCCTTATACCTTTACATACTCAACCCCCAGTATTTATTCCAACCTCCCCCTTATTGACCTAAAAATCAGGTGAATGGTAGATGAGAAAAATCTATAAATAATCTATTCTTTATTATGTAAAAATTGACCACATTTTATTTACATAGCTTCCTTCACACTTGAGCCAAATTTTTTGTAATCATAGTTTTTCTCTCCCCGCTTTGAACTCAGATTTCTATTCATTTTTCCCTCATCTTAGTTACAAAAATTGGACATTTCTCTTTTGCTCAAAGAAGTTGGCTGGTTCTATGTACACAAAATTATTAGCTGATCTCTGTATGCCCAATTATACTTCTGCAATCAGTACTTATTTTGAAGATGGCTGAAATGATTAAACAAATTTTTCCACTTTGTATAACCAAAGATATAAATACTGTGTGACCATCATCTACAGAAGACTTCTGTAGTGCTGAGTAACTTCAGATGATGTCATTCTTTATTTGCAATAATTCTCTCAATAAAGCAACACTTTTCTTTTGTATTTTTCTGTCATTCTCCCAAGCTCAATAGTGTTATTTCTTCATGTTCACTATCATCAGTCAGTATTTATTGAGTACCTGCAGTTGTCGCAGTTCGGTGTTATTATACTTTTTACCACCATAGTTTAGAATTCTCAGCTGTCAAGAAATACTAAGTGAGTTTTCTTTGCTTTTTTTGGGGGGGGGCAATTGGGGTTAAATGACTTGTCCAGGGTCACACAGCTAGTAAGTGTTATGTGTCTGAGGCCAGATTTGAACTCAGGTCCTTCTGACTTCAGGGCCGGTGCTCTATCCATTGCGTCATCTAGCTGCCCCTTTCTTTGCTTTTTGTTTCTTATAAAAGAAGGCTAAAAAAGGTGAGGGACTAGAAGAATTTTAATTCTGAACAGGTGTTTGTTGAATGAATGAAGTATTTAAAATCCATCTTTTTTCATGTTTTACTTGCATTCTTGCTTAGTTAAAGAGATAAATGCAACTGTTTAGAGTGAATTAATTTCATTTGCTTAACAATTGCAAATACTATTTATTTGAGTCTACATTAGATTGTATACATGTACTATTTTGCTTATTCCTAAATTTTTCTGCACTCTGACATCATTATCAGCTATCAGAGGCTAAAGTACAGTTAAAAATTTGTCTTAACCTGATTTCTGAATCTTTACATTTCAGCAAAGAAAATAATTATGAAAATTTTGTTAATATTTAAGATATTTATTCTTTTAATTAATGGTTCCTTTCCTAATATGTTAGCTTCATAACTCCTAAGTAATTCATATATAATGGTAGAAGGAGGGAGGAAAAATTGCCACACACTCAGAAAAAGTAGAGAGCAGAAGTTATTTTTAAGTTTCTATACCTGTTATTGTTAAATTTTTTTCCTTTGATTTTCCTGAGTTTTCAAATTGTACTTTTGTTTTTGATCTCATGAATAATTTACTGATATTTTATTATATAGTGTTATTTAATTTTATTAAATAAGTTTACATAAAACAGGTTCCATAAATAATTAATCAGATATCCTTGCTTAGATATCAGGTACATTAAAAACAATATTTTTAAAACAATGAAAAATTCACAGCTTTCTTTGTCATTCTATCTTAGAGTTCTCATCTTCTAGCCTTTTTTGCAGATGTGATACATTTCTTTGTAATTGCAAAATGGACTTTTTCACCCCAGACTTCCCCTCTATCTTCATTTAGCAGATTTCAGTTCCAATGTAACACACTCCTGAAGAACTGTATATAAAAAAGAGAATAAAATCTTAGGCAAAAATGTATCATGTGGTCCCTGGTTTTCTGGTGATGAGCCTTTCTGTACTTAATTAGTCTGGTCCTTGGATGACAAGAATATATTCTCTAGCTAGACGCAACCTTGCAACCTTTCCATCTTGACAGAATTGACCGGTACTTGCACTCATCCAGGATAGCCTTTGAAAACATAGGATCTGCATGCCACAGTGAGGCCCTGGAATAAGACTTTGAGGCTTACTCTAGTGTGTGATTGGATCCCCCCACCCTCACCCCCATACACAACAATCACGGATTTTCAGAGTTGGAAGGGACCTCAGAAACCATCTCATCCAACCTGTACCTGAGCAGGAATTACTATCACTACTAATTGTCATTATCATAATAATAGTTTGCATTTATGTAGCACTTTAAGACTTGCAAAGTACTTTACAAATACTTCATTTGATCCTTAAAATAATCCTGGGAGGCGGGTGCTATTATTATGTCCATTTTACAGATGAGGAAACTGAAGCAAACAAGGTTAAGTGACTTGCCCTGGGTAATAAGTTTCTGAGAAAGGATTTGAACACAGGACTTACTGCCTCTGAGTTCAGTGCTATATCCGCTGTACCACCTGGCTGCCCCTCTATCACATACCTGACAGATGGGCTTCAGGCTTTTCTTCAAAACCATATTCAGCTTTTGGATAGCTCTGATTGTCAGGGCATGTTTCCTTATGTCAAAGCTTAAATTTGCATCTTTGCTGTTTCCATCCCAAGCCTGCCCACATTGCAGATCCATTGACAAGTGTGTAATTGTCAACCTTCTGAAGCCTAGAGACCTATAAGTACCTATCCCTGGAAGCGTCAGAGAATGTCCCTTTCTTCCAGTGCTCAATGAAAATTAAAAAAAAAAAATAGAAAAAAACACTGTTGGCTGAGCAATGTATAACAATTAAAACAAGCCTTTTCTGAGAATTTTTCATGCCCCATTTGAATGCTCTTCTCTTTCTCATCACTACATATCCATTGTGCTCTTTAAAATTTGTCTGAAAATTCATACCCCTCCTGGAAGTCTTCTTTCTCACCCCCCTCTAATCTCTCTGGCCTCATTTAGAATTTCTTGACCTTATTTTGGGGGGAATGAAAGGGCTGCGAGTATTGTTGGGCACACCATTTTGGCAGATAATCACATGATTTTTGCTGCTGGCTTAGCCTGCTAATTGTCAACATGTTCCAGATTGTTAATGTGTGTAGGGTTTGATGCCTAAGTAATGTAAACTAAGATCTTCACCAGGAATGGTCGTTTGGAATGTTTATCAAAGCTGATCCATAAGATTCTCTAAGACCCTCTGAGAAATTTTAGTTATTCTTGTGCTCAAGCAGTTCTATCAGGAACAAAAATCCACCCTTTTTTTGGTCCTCGTTAAAAATACACACATTAATTGCTATTGTATATGAGCAGTAAAGCTGAGAAAACTAAGATATTGTCATCTGATAGCTTCTGATTGATTATCCTGTCTGTGGGTTAATTATCATTATTGCGAGCTAAAAACATGTCATTTTACTGGTTTAGTTGAAGAAAATCCATTATATTTATTTTCTTATAAAAAAATTTATTTTTCAGCATGTTTTTTATTTTGATGAAGTCTTTGGTGAGATGTCTACCAATCAAGATGTATATATGAAGACTACTCACCCACTCATTCAGCATATTTTTAAAGGGTAGGATAGTCCTTTGTTTCTCATTCCTTTTCACATACTGTTTTTCTATATGAATCCTGTTTGTATTTTCATGCAGAATGAAGCATGAATAAAGAATTTTGTATCTACTGTATTTTAATGATTATTTAAATTAAGCTATGTGGAAACATGTAATATCAGTATTTATAGGACTTAGTACCTAGAAATTTACATTACTCCTCATGCATGAGTGATTTTGATTCTCTGTGCAATAAGAAAATAGAGGTTGTTTTAAAAAACATAATTTGTCAGAGTACTGAGAATTTAAAGTTTTAACAACTGGTTGTATTTAATCTGACATTTTGATAGTTAGGATTATGTGTCCTTGCTGTAGTTGAAATTAAGATTTCCATAATCAGGCATTGGGTATTCATGAGAGCACAAATTGAGACTACTCAATAAGTACAATAGTAATGTTTAAAAATTGATTAAAGTCACAGATAGACAAAAGTTTTATATATGTAGCCTTTCAGTTCTGCATTTCTTATCTAACAGTTCTCTAGAGGAGAGGAGAGTTTAGGAACATGAATTAATAAAATGAGTTGGAATTTATTTAAATTGCATTATACTCGATAGTATCGCATTAGCCACTGGTATGTAATGGTGGGGTGGAGAGAACTACTATAAGTCAGGCTTATTATGGAGAGCATAATAGGAACCTCTTTCATGACCATATATAAAAAAGATAAATAAGATTGTACCTTTAAAACAATTCTGAATTTGTTGTGGGCATTAAAAAAAACTTCTTTGTTCTTCCTTTGACACTGTCTTTCCTTCATAACTTGACTTTTGTCTTCCATGCACATACATATTTTCAATTTCTCTTATAACTGCACTTCTGTCGCCTTAGCAAAGTTTATTGAACTGTTTACAGAACACCATACTAGTTACCATAGAGGAGATGAAAGACATGATCCCTGTCCTTAAGAAGCTGGCAATCTAAAGTGCAGTGTAGTGAAAAGAGCATTGGACTTGGAGTCAAAAGACCAGGGATCTAATGTGGGTTTTGCCATTTATTAGGTATATAGCTTTGGAAATCTTTCAGCCTCAATTTCCCTATCTATAAAATGGGGATAATAATGCACACCTTTCCCATCTCACAAGGTTATTGTGAAGAAAATGTTTTGTAGGGGGTGGAGCCAAGATGGCGGAGTGAAAGCAGTGACTTGCTTAAGCTCTCCCCCAAACCCCTCCAAATACTCATAAAAATGGCTCTAAACAAATTCTGAAGCAGCAGAACCCACAAAAAGACAGAGTGAAACAAATTTCCAGCCCAAGACAACCTGGATGATTGATCAGAAAGGTGTATCACGCCGGGCTGGGAGCGTAGTGCAGCACAGCGTGGAGTGCGCAGGCCACAGCAAACCTGGAGCAGGCCTCAGAGGACTGAATCGCGGGCAGCTGTGGAGGTTTCCAGACTCCTCAACCCACGAATGCCAAAGACAACTTAGAAAACGCTGGAACCAAGTCCCAGAAAGTTATGGTGCCTTGCTCAAAATGAAGTTAATTAGTTGCTAACCCAGAACTAGAATCTGTTCTGGCTTTACTGTCTAGGACTTAGACCTTGGATGATAAGAATACATGTAGAAGGTTCCAGGTATGCTGGTTTAGGTAAGCAAGAGATGAATCTCTAGAAGTATCCATTAACAACAGGGACAATTTGCACAATGGCCCCAAGTACAAAAAGCATCAAGGTAAAGTTATTGGAGACTATAAACTTGTGATTTTTGAAAGATCTGGAGAGGAAGACATCCAGGAGTCCAGGAGTTAAGTCTGTGCCAAGCTTTGAAGCCAGCTGAGCCACAATACCGCAAGGGACAAAGATCACAGCATTTAATAAAGACTCCTCGAACATCTAAAAGAAATGTTTTGTACAGTGGCTGTTGCCATTTTGCTTTTTCATATCTCATAATTGCTTTCATTAGCCTCCTTCCCTAGCTTCAGGTTGATTTTCATCTCCTTTCCTTTGCTGCAAGTAGGTACTGTGTACCTATTTATGCAAAGGCTTATATTACCTATCAACTCTCAATTTTCCTGCTTGACATCTTAAACCTTTTGTAATTTTGCCCCATCCTAATTATCTAATCTTACTTTCCATTACTTCTGACATGAACAGTAAGACCTATCTCTTTATTGTATACTATGCTCCTTCTTATCTCTGAGGCCCTGATTCTTGTTCCCGTTTTGCCTGGATTGACCTTTCTCTCCATCATTTCAAATCCTACCGGTCTTAAAGGCGTAGACTCAAGTTGCTCCTTCTCCATGAAGTCTCCCCCAAGTGTTGCAGCTCATATTAAACTATGATTATTGAAAGGCAATATCACAGAATTTAGTATTTTGATTATATTTCATTTTATTTGTACTCATTTCCTGTGCATGAATCTTATGTCCCTAGACAGGAGTGGGGACACCTGTGGCCTTGAGGCCACATGTGGCCCTCTAGATTCTCAAGTGTGGCCCTTTGACTAAATCCAAGCTTCACAGAACAAATTTGTCAGGCTCCCCAACTCTGTGCCCCTAGCTAGACTAATTCTTTGGGGCAAAGGCCACGTCATCCTCTTTTTTCTACATACACAGTGCCTAATTGGGCCCATGATAGAAGCTCAATAAATGTGTGTTGGTTGGTTGAGTCAAATACTTGTTCCTCTCTCCTCCATTGTCTTTTAACAAACATTGGTTCTGTAAATAAATCTGTTTTGTAAACTCTTTTCCCTCCTGGAGCATTTACAGTATAAGCCACTCTGTAAGACATTTCATGTACCTAGCTCATTTTTTGTCATTTATATTCAGGTTAGTAGTATGATAATATGCATAAGTGAGTCAAATTCATACACTAATTAATGATTCTTTTCACAGAGGAAATGCCACTTGCTTTGCATATGGACAGACAGGAGCTGGAAAGACTTATACCATGATAGGGACTCATCAAAACCCAGGGCTCTATGCTCTCGCTGCTGAAGACATCTTTAGGCAAATAGACCTAGCCCAGCCAAGGAGAGACCTCTCTGTGTGGATTAGTTTTTACGAGATCTACTGTGGACAGCTTTATGATCTTCTAAATGGAAGGAAAAGGTACCTGATACAACCATGAAACTATAAAGCACTTTGTTGTTACTACTTTGGGTAAGAATTCCACTGTCATATTTTTTGAAAAAAAAAAGGCATTGTGTAGGGATGCTGTTTTTTTGGTGGAAATAGAAATACTCTAAGTTTCCTTTTGCCTTGGAGACAATGGGCACTTAATAAATGTATGTTGAATAGAATGGAGTAATGAAAACATTGAGTTTCAAGACAAAAGACTTGAGTTTAAGACCCTGACTGTGCTGCTGACCAACTTGTGACCTCAGTCAAGTCACTTACCCTTTCGGAGCCTTTATTCCTTCATCTATAAAATGAAGGATCAAAGTATTATAATATCCATAGAACTGGAAGGGATCTTAAAAGGCATCTGCTCCAGAAGTTAAAATAGATCATCTTTTTAAAAAAAATTTATTCATTTTGAACTTAAATACAAAAAGATGAAAAAAACCTTTCCGTTTACACAGCACAACACAGTAGATTCAGTATGACACCACGACTCTGCACTTCACAGTTAACTTTTTTTTGAAAAACCATGTAATAAATATTACACATCATTTTCAAAGCAACCTGCTTTTCTGTGTTTTTTCTTTTGTTCTTTGCTATGCACTTCCCCCCCCCCTTTCCTTTACCCCACAGTAGAGAAGGCCACCATTAAACACAAATATGTAAAACTATACTATATATACTTCTATTATCAGTTCTTTCTCTGGGGGTGGGTAATATCTTCCTTCGTAGGTCCTTTGTAGTTGATTTTAAAAAGAAACTTAGTCGTTCACAGTTGTTCTTCAGGCAGTATTGCTGTTACTGTACGCAACATTCTGTTGGTTCTTTTCATTTCAGTCTTCATTATTTCCTGCCAGTCTTTCCGTGTTTTTCTAAAATCAATCACTTCATCATTTCTTATAGCACAGTAGTATTCTATTACAATCATATACCACAACTTGTTTAGCTGTTCCCCAACTGATGGGCATCACCTCAATTTCCAGTTCTTTGCCACCACAAAGAGAGCTGCTATAAATATTTTTAAACGTATGAGTTCTTGTGAAACAACCTAATAGTGGTATTGCTGGGTCAAAGGCTATAGGCAGTTCAATAACTCATTGGGAATAATTCTAGATTGCTCTGCAAAATAGTTGGATCAGTTCGCAGTTCCAGTGACAGTGTTTTAGTGTCCCAATTTTTCCACCATTGGAATAGATCATCTTTAAAGTCTTTTTCAATTTGTAAAAAGTCCTTTGATCCTAATCTATTCTGTCCTATAAAATTGAATCAGCTAGTTTCTAGCTTGATCTGATTGTTCTGACAACTACTTGAGTTAATCTTCTGTGTTTCATTATTTATGTTTCTTATTTAAAAGGTGATTGGTAACTTTATTTATTTATTTATTTATTTGGCTAGGCAATGGGATTAAATGACTTGCCCAGGGTCACACAGTAACTTTTAAATTAAGGACTTTCTCCATTCTCCTGATCATCAAAGCAGTTTCAGGAAGTTGGAATTTTTATTTCTTCGTCTTTGAAAAGCTTGTTGTACTATAGATACTGTAAAGTATATATTTTTTCCTCTTTCCTTCATTTTCTCTCAAAAGCTTCAAATACACCTAACAAAATGCTTTTTGTAGTTATTTCAAAAAATTCTGTCAAATCTCAAATTTTTCAGCTAGGATGAGATTTATATGTATATTTCAGCCATGGAGTTGGCACTGCTATTCAATCAGCTTTACCGCTATTTGTGGCACAGCAGAAAGAACATATAGGATTTAGTCAAAAGACTCAAAAACCAGGGTTTGAGTGCTTGCTTTATACTTAGCTGTGAAATAAGAGTGAACTTAGAGTGAAGTATTTCCTTCTGGATTTCAGCTTTCTCTAATGTAAATGACTGAAGGCCCTTTCTCACTTTATCACCTTCTGACCACAAAGACAAAATTGTGTTCTCTCTGACCATTTACATTGTTGAGTAGCAGATTGACTCAGGAAACACTGATTGAGTGCTTGTTATGTGCCTAGTACTGTGCGGGGTGCTATGGGAGATACAGAGAAGTATAAAATACTTGCCTTCAAAGAGTTTACAATTGATCTGGGGCAGGGCTAGAGTTTTTTGTTTTTTAGAAAAGAAAATGAATCTTTCCAGTATCAATTTTTTTAGATTTGGAAAGTGAAATGTTTACTTATTTCCAAGCCCCTGCCTATTCCAAACATCTTTAGGGATACTTACATTGCACTTGTCTTAAGTGGGAGTTCTAAATATTTCATCTATTTGATGTTATTTCATGAGGGGTGTTTTCTGTTTTCCTATCTTGTGGATTTACCTTAAGTTGCCCTAGAATTTATATATATTTGCTTTTGAGATAGGATTTTAGGTTGCAGAAAACTGTGGAAAACAAATTGCCATTTGATTGATTATGTGACCTTAGAGGAATTTTTACAGATCTTTTATGTTTTTCATCTGTTTGTTGTCCTCTTGTTTTCATCCTCAAATACTCTCAAAATAATCTGGTTTAGTTGGCTCTCTCATTAATCTTGTGTAAACCTCTACTTCTTTCTGTTTTATGAGGCAGCATTTATAGATTATTTTCTATTATCTTCCTACGTAATCTTTTAGAAACAGGTTCCTATTTTAATCAGTCTTGCTTTTGGCTACCACATCCTTCTGCTTTGTGAAGTGATCAAACATTTGCAGGCTGTCAGGATTCCTAAACTCTTTTGGACTCTTAGTAGTGGCAGTTAATTTACTAAACTTCCTTTGGAAATGGTGATAATCTGTGCCAGTATCAATTCTTTTATCTATTTCTAATTTTTCACTATTTTCACAGTTGGTTTAAATAGGTCAAGTCTCCTCAATTGAGTGCTGTATCTTCTCATTTTTATTCTTCTAATTTATTTTTAAAAGACTGAGTCTCCCTATCTCACCCAGGCTAGAAGTACAAGGGCTATTCATGGGAGCTTTAATCTGTTCCATTTCTGACCTAGGTTGGTTTGTCCCTCTTTAGCTGAACTAGTGGTTCCCCCCTGCTGGGGTCTCATTTTATCAATGCCAGGCTTAACATGGACATCTCACTGGCATAGTTCACTGCAGCTCAGAACTCCCAAGCTCAAGAGGACCTTAGGGTTCAGCCTCTAAAGTATTTGGGTTTACAGGCATGTACCACCACATCTGGCTTATTGATTTTAATCTCTATGTCCACTGAGGTTCTTTCAACTTTTAAATTTTGCAATTCCATGAAGGTTTAGTACTGTAGTAATAAAACTACCAAGGTGTTACTTTACAGGACCAGGGGGAAAAAAGGGTAGCTTTGAAATGCAAAGTTTTTTGAATTGTTCAGAAATACTAAAGGACTTTGCCAACATAAGTATTCAATTTATTTTTAAATTCTGTCCTTAGATGTATAAAACTTACTTTCTTTAAAATTTTGTTAGTATTCCTTAAGCTTTCAAGTTGCCCCTTAACTGACCCAAGTCTGCTACTCCCGAAGCCTTCCTTTTTATTAAAAGGAATATTGAAACTAGATGCTGGGAGGAGGGTTGGGAATTTGGTATTCCAAGTGGTTTAGATTTTGGAAATGTATTTTTAAGATTAATTTAAATTGTTTTATTGGTACTGTTACTAGCCTTGATCAATTTTCTTTTAACAGATTTGTTTTTTAAATCTACAACGTAAATAAGAGGTGGCATTTTCTCTTCTGGTTTAATAAAACTGGTTTAGCTTTACATTCTAGAGATAACCAGTAGTTTTCTGGTTTTCACTTTTCTGTGACTTTGAAACATAGAGAACCTGGTAGGTGTTCCTTGCTGCCTTTAGTTAGATCTTCATTAACATTGTTCTTGCTCCTGCAGACTTTTTGCAAGAGAAGATAGTAAGCATGTTGTACAGATAGTGGGATTGCAGGAACTTCCAGTCGATAGTGTGGATCTCCTTTTAGAGGTAAGTCTTACTATAAAACTGTGCATACCCTTTGACCCAGCACTACCACTTCTAGGGCTATATCCCAAACAATTCATAAAAATAGGAAAAGGACCCACATCTACAAAATTAAGTATAGCAGCTCTTTTTGTGGTGGCTGAGAATGGGAAATTGAGGGGATGCCCATCAATTGGGGAGTGGCAGAACAAATTGTGCTATATGAATGTAATGGAATACTATTGTTCCATAAGAAATGATGAGCAGGCGGACTTTAGAGGTACGACTTATTCATAGTCTCAACACTGTTACTTTAACTGTAAGTGTTTAAAGAAATGGAAATATTCACTTAACTTAAGGGCCTTGGACTTAAGCAAAGTAAAAAAAAATTTGAAGTTTAATTTTTATTTGCAAAGGGGAAAAGTTGATCTCTTACAAGATTCCCCATTTCTTTGTATTGCTTGTGTTTTATAATATTTTGGGAGCTATGGGGTTTTAGAATATACCATTACTGAAATTGAAAGAGGCTATTCCCTAGAGCTTCTAAAGATTAATTTTAAAGGATGTTTCAACATACTTTCCTGTCAGAGTAATTTTATCCAGAACCACACTTATTAAACTTACTTCTTATGGACTTTTCGCACCTCAAGAAGATTGATTCTCTACAGAAACTTTTTCTGGCAAGGGCTGCTAGAGGGCTGAAAAGTCATGATCTCAGATCTGCAAAGACTTCTCCTTAATTTAATGCATTAGGAAGGTTTTTTTTAACTTTAGCCATAACTTCCACAAGAATTTTGGAAAGACTGGTCAGAGTAGGAAAGTACCTTTATATGGGTTCACCTTTATAGACCTGCTCTAAGAAGAAAGGTCTTCCACAAGCCTTTCCAGTTTTTTCTCTCACTATTCTGACTGCAGAAAAGCTATTCTATATCCTTCCCCCCAGTATGGCCTGTGCATTCCTGTTCCAACATTATTAAAATTAATTTTTTTTTTTGAGACTGTGTCTGTATATCTCATCCAGATAGGAAGTGCAATGGCCATTCATGGACCTGATCCCAATGCTAATTGGTAGTGAAGCTTTATCTACTCCATTTTCAACCCAAGTGATATGCCCCTCCTTACATAGCGCCTTACTCTTTGGGGCTCACTATATTGGTGCTAGAGTCAGTGAAAATACTCAGTTAGCTTAGCCCAATGCAGCTCAGAATTCCCAAGCTTGAGAGACCTACCAGCTTCAGCCTCCCCCAGTAGCTGGTATTGCAGGTATAGACTACTAGATCCAGCCAAAGTTACTTTTTTTTTTTAAGGATTAGACTTAATCTATTAGGTGTGAGAATTTCTAAGGGCAGGGAACATTACTAATTTTTTTATGTTGCTTAAAAAAAACCCCAAACTCCCAAGTTAGGAATCAGGCCTGAAAGTTGACCATGTAGATTAATTTTGATATGGGTACTTAATTTTCTCCATATCTCTAAATTGAGTGCAAGAGATGCAACTTTTCAAATTCAGCATGGGTGCTGGGATTCTCCTGTGGTGTAACTGTTTGCCTCTTGAGTCTTGAAACTTGAGGAAGGTATTTAAATTTGACCAGTTTGCAAAATCCCAGCTATTGGCTGAAAAGCAGTCATCTCCTGACAATTGCAAAGGCATGTGCAATATCATAACCACATCTATCTTTCAGTGATCCCTCTGAGGGCTGCGTTGCTACCAAACTGCTCATCTGGAAAATTCATATGCCTTTGGAGCATTCATGTGGTTCTAGGGGGGAAAACAAAACAAAACATGTCAAATGGGTGCGAGAGTTTCAACACAGTCTCTAGAGAAATAGCCTTCAGGAAATTTGAAGTCAGTGAGGAGAAGCCAGAAGAAAGATCCATTGCCCTCTCCATACCCACATGCTTTCCCTATTGGCCATGAACTTTCACAGGGTAGTGCCTTCTCTGTAACTTTGGTTGAAAGACGTCAGGTGAGAAGAATGAATTTCCAAGGAAAAATCTCTTTTCCTTGACCAAAAGCTATAAACAGTGAGAAGAAATCTGAAAATTTATTCAAGATTTACTCAAGAGGATTTTCTGTAATCTGCTTTTCTTGGTATATAGGCATGGCCTTTATTGTCCCAGAACATCTCTCCTAAGAGAAGGTATAAGGATATCTTTTATGATATATATAGTGAAGTAGTGTTTTGCATAGGTTATTTACTATTGACTGATAGCCATATCTCAATAGATGAATGGTCAAAGAATATGAACAAACAGCTCTTAAAAGAACTACCAAATATTCACTATCACATGAAAAAATGCTTCGAATCACTTATAATAAGAGAAATACAAATCAAAACACTCTGCAAATTGGCAAAAATGAAAAAAAAATGTCAATGGTCCTTGTTGGAGGCATTGTGGAAAGAAAGGTACAGTAATACATTGTTGGTGGAGCAATTTTTTTCAAAGCAATTTAGAATTATGCAACTAAAGTAACTAAAATGTCCATACCCTCTGAACCAGAGATTCTGTTACTAGACTTATATCCTAAGGAAGCCATCAATGAGAAAAAAGTCCCCATATATGCCAAAATATTTATAGGATCTTTTTTTTTTTTGTCTAGGCAGTGGGGGTAAGTGACTTGCCCAGGGTCACACAGCTAGTGAGTGTTTTTTGTGTGTCTGAGGTTGGATCTGAACTCAGGTCCTTCTGAATCCAAGGCCGATACTCTATCCACTGTGCCACCTAGCTGCCCTGAGGAGCATTTTTGTGATACCTGAGAATTAGAAACAAAGTAGATACCCGTCAGTTGGAGAATGGCTAAACAAATTGTGATACAGCAATGTAATGGAATATCACTGTGCTATAAGACATGATGCATGTGATGAAGATAGAAAAGCAAGGAAAAATTTATGTGAACTGATACAGAGTGAAGTAAGCAGAGCTAAGAAAACAATATGCAAGGCAACTACAATGTAAACCAAAAAATCAAAAGTAAATGGGTCAAAATTATGCAGATCAAGTGGGATTAGAATGAAGAGATATGAGAACACACCTCCAACCTACCCCTTCGTGGAAGTCCACAGGCATTACATGTTGCACATGTTATTGAACTTATTCAACATATTGATCAGTTGTACTGCCTTTTTTCCCCTCTCCAAAAAATACTGTTTATCATTTGGGATATCTTTCTAGGGGAGGGAGGATACAGGGGATACTATAGTGATGTAAGAAACAGAAAGATCAATAAAAATTTGTTTTAAAAAAAGAATTTATGAAATACAAAGTACACTACTGACAGAGACATTTTTCTTAAGTATCTATATTCTTTTTTGGTATATGAGTTAGAGGACAACAAGGAATGGCATATTTTCTGTCAGAAATTAGAATTACTTTATATTTCTTCATTTAGGCTTTTTCCCGTTTTATTTTTAAATAGATTTTTATTGATCTCTTGTTTTTACATCACCTAGATTTCTCTCTGTATCTCTACCCTCTCCCTAGAAAACCATCCCCTAAAATAAAGTTTTGTTGGGTTTTTTTTAAGAAAAAGAGAACAAAATTCAGCAAAACCAATCAGTACATTCAAAATATGTAACATTATATGCAATATTCCTTAAATAAAGACTGGGAGGAAGTGCCTTCTCACATCTTTGGGGCCAAACTGGTTCTTTATAATTTTGCAACATTGGTTTCTTTTTCTTTTAAATTTTTATTGATATATTTTGTTTTGACATTCTAAAATTTCTCCTAATATTCCTTCCCTTCCTTCCGAGAGCCATCCTATATAACAAAATTTTTAAAGAAAAAAATGAAAAAGAAGAAATCAGCAAAACCAATCAATATATCAGAAAAGTCTGAAATTATATTCAGTGTTCCACATCTGTGGACCTCCTGCTTCTGAAATGGAGTGATGTGGTGTCTTCCATTTCTTTTCTTTTCTTGGTCTTTGTAATTTTGTAGCATTCATTTTATATTGTTATTGCTGTTATTTCCTTTTACATTAGTGTCCCAGTCATTATGTATATTGTTTTCTTAGCTCTGCTTACTTCAATTCATGTAAGTCCTTTCCTGCTTTTCTATATTCATTATAGTTATCATTTTGTATAGCTCAGTAAGTCTATTATACTCATGTATCACAGATTGTTTAGTCATTCTCCAGTTGATGGGCATATACTTTCTTTCCAGTTTTTTGCTACTCAAAAAGTACTCAAAGTACTGCTCAAAAAGTACTACCACAAATAAAGCCTTTCATTTTGTCAGTGACCTCCTTGGGGGATGTATGCTTAATAGTGGAATCTCTGAGATAAAATGTCAATGGATATTTTAGGTACTTTATTTGTATAATTCTGAATTACCTTTCAGAATGGTTGTACTAATCCACAGCTTCTCCTACCATCCAATTTTGGTAAGAGTTTCTCATCTGAAGATTTTATGGCCCAAGCTAGGTTATTCAGCTTGACTCACCATACTTTAAAAGAAAGGTTCTAGTGGCAGCTAGGTGGCAAAGTGAATAGCGCACCGGCCCTGAAGTTAGGAGGACCTGAGTTCAAATCCGGCCTGAGACCAAACACTTGACACTTACTAGCTGTGTGACCCTGTGCAAGTCACTTAACCCCAATTGCCTAAAGAAAAAAGAAAGGTTCTAGTAATACACATGTCAAATAACCCATTTTGACCTAAGACAGATTTTAGAAACAGTGAACTCCTAAGTAATCTGTTGGGCAGTCTTCTTCCCTCTCCTTTCTGTCCTACTCTACCATACACAGGTGGGGCCTAAGAACATGTATTTAGGAAATTGCATAGCCTATGAGCCCAGTCTCATCACAAATCACTGCTCTGCCAGTTTCTTAATACATTGAAATTTCCTTCATCCTTCCAAAACCCAGGAAGAGAAGTAAACCCATTCTGTAGGCCCATAGGAGATAAGACAGAGTTGCCCAGGCCTAAGGCCCCCCAGGTCAGAGTGCTTGTGTTAATTGTCCTAACAACTGCCATTTCTAGAGCATTTGGAAGGTTTTTAAAGTGCTTTATGTAGGTTATCTAATTAGACTTTCTCCACATCCTTATGTGGGGAGGTCTTATCATCCCCTCTTACAGATGTGGAAATGGGCTAGATCTAGCAATCCTAATGCAAGGAGATAAATTTGATCTCCTAGGTATAATTGAAGCTTTGAGAAGAGTAAACCTATGAGTAGAATATGCCTCTGATGGATGTACTTTTTTCATAATGAACTGGATAGGTAACATCAGTGGAAGGAAAAATATAACTGATTTTTGTCATTAGAGTATACTGTAAATCATTTGGACAGAAAGAGGATATGGATGAGTTTTGGAAACGGATCCTGACACAGAAGTATGTAGTGGAGAGGGTATTGCATTTTATGTTGTTATCTCCTGGAGCTCTCATTGCCAGAAGTGGAGTAGCTAAGCCAATAACTTCTTGACTTGCCCCTAATGATCATTTCATCCTTTAGAATGTGGAAGAGCCAACAAAGGGGATTCTATTATGGAACCAAATCTCATTACTAAGGAAGAACTGGTTGTTGGAGTAGAAATTATTGGGACATTAATAGGAAGAAACCACTCCCTCCTAGAGTTTGAAAACTAAACAGAAGCTGGGTATAGTCTGACAAGTATCCTAAATTTTCGGTATAGCAGAGTTTGGGTATTTCGGAGGAAGGGTAGGTAAGATACCTGGACTAAAATTCTTCAAGGGAAGTCAGCACAGGAGAGATAAGAAATTCTCAAGAATGATAAGAAACCAAGATAAATAATTTAAATAAGGAAATGGAAATTATGTGATAAAGTTGATGTAGATGCACAGGTAATTCACCAGTCAGTTTAGATCTTTAAAAGATATATACAGAAGATGGAAGCAAGGACAGGCAACAGAGACTGAATACAGAAATGTTGTATGGTACAAAAATGGTGTCATGACTGCTAAAGCTTAGAATGAGCTGATGCAGGCAGGGAAGACTAAGGAGAACAAAATGCATTTTTTTAAAGCTACATTGGGTAAAAGAGAAGGATCAAAGAAAGGAAAAGATTGCTGCTTGGGGCAAATACCTGACAACAGAGATAAGGCAGCACTGTTCAGTTCTCAGGCTGCTTTTTTTTTTCCCCTCTGCTAAAGACATTGACCTTTGGACTGGAAAGGACAAAACCAAAATGTCTAAGAATAAGTAAGAAGATTGTAACAAAGCTTTCCTTAATAAATTCTGCTCACCTGGTTGCTATAAACTTCATCCCCTCTCCCCTTTTTTTTTTTCAGTCATTTCAGTCGTGTCCAACTCTTCATGACCCCATTTGGGGTTTTCTTGGCAAAGACACCAAAGTGGTTTGCCATTTCCTTCTCCAGGTCATTTTACAGATGAGGATCTGAGGCAAACAAGGTTAAATAACTTATTCAGTGTCACACAGCTAGTAAGTGTGTGAGGCTGTATTTGAACTAGAGAAGATGAGTCTTTCTAACTTCAGGTCCGGCACTCTCTCCACCAAGCCACCTAGATACCTTCATCCTTAGGTACTGAAAAAACTGATAGATATGCTTCCTGAGCCACTGTCAATGATATCTGAAAGATCTTTGACATTAGGAGAGGTCCCATAGCATTGTAAAAGGATAAATGTTTTGATTTCCCTCTCAAAAAAGAAAAGGATAAGGCCTGTAAACTATAGGCCAGCGAACTTTTATTCTTGGCATAATCCTAGAATGCATTATTTAAAAGATCTAGGAAAGGAACTGATGATTACAAAGCAGCAGCCTAACTTTAACAAGAACAAGGCAGGCCAGATCAACTTTATTTCTTTTTTTGATGAGGTACTAAACTGGTAAGATCAGGAAAATGCTAAAGATTTAGTTTACCTAGAATTTAGCAAAATAGTCAACATGCTATTCTTGTGCAGAAGATGGAGAGATGTGGACTAGATTGTAATACAGTTATGGATTCCAAACTGGTTGAATACGCAGACTCAAAGAGCAGCTAACAATTAATGTTTCCTTGTCAACTTGGAAACAAGTCTCCAGTGGAATAGCTCACTGAACTTTGCTTGGCTCCCTGCTAACAGTGTTATCATCACTGACCTGGATAAGGGCCTGTATGTCATGCTTATTAAATTTCCAAATGATACAAAGCTGACAGGGATAGCTAACTTACAGGACTACAGTCAGAATCTAGAAAGTTCATTACAAACTAGAGCACTAAGATGAATATAATAAGATGTAATTTAATAGGGATAAATGTAAAGTCTTACGCTTGGGTTGACATAAATTGCCTTCACAAGTACAAGATGGAAGAGGCATGGTTATACAGCAATTTATTAATTAATCAGCGAGCATTTATGCCTACTACATGGTAGGCAACTGCTTGCCAGAGATACAAGGATAAAAGCAACAGTCTGCCATCAAGAACTTTGTGTTCTAACAAGAGAAACAACATGTATATGTGTTGGTCTGTAAAACGCACATACAAAGTGCCCTGGAGTCAGGGCTGTTAGCAGCTGAGGAGGACCAGAAAGGGTGTCATGCAGAGGGTACAGTTTGAGCTAAGTCTTGGAGAAAATGAGATATCTCACTCGAAGGGAGGGTGAGCATTTCAGGCATGGGGGACAGCCGGTACAAAAGCAGGAAGATGGGAGATGGGGTATCATCTGTAAGGAGCAGCAAGGCCAGTCTGGCTGAACTGTACGTCAAGGGTGTAGGGGAAGAAGATCCTGGAAGAAGACTAATGAGGTAGGGTGGGCTGGGTTGTAGAGTTTAAAATGCCAAATAAGGAATTTCTGTTGAATGCTAGAAGAAACAGGAGGATGCTGAAGGATAGTATGGTGTAGTAGCCAAGGGACTGGGTTTGGAGACGGGAAGTTTGTTGTTGCTCAGTTGTTTTCAGTCCTGTCCAACTCTTCGTGACCCCGTTGGAGGTTTTCTTGGCAGAGATACTGCAGTGGTTTGCCATTTCCTTCTCCAGCTCATTTTACAGATGAGGAAACTGAGGCAAACATGGTCATTATCTTTCCTAAACTCTCCCTCTTCCAAACTTCCCTGTTTCTGTAAAAGACATCTGCATTCTATTATCCTAATGTCTCAGATTAGTAATTTCAGCATTATCTTGGACTCTTACTCTCTCCCTTGCCCCGCATATCCATTCAGTTGCCAAATCTTGCTGTTTCTGCCTTCATAACCATTCTTGCATCTAACCCCTTCTCTCTACTCACCTAGATTATTGCAGCAGCCTCTTAATTGGTCTCCTTTCTTCAAATATCTCATCACTCCAGTCCATCTTCTGCGTTACTGCCAAAGCAATTTTCCTTAAGTGCAGATCTGACCATATTCAACCAAGTTCAGTGACTTCCTTTTGCCCTTCTAGGATAACATATAAACTGCTTGTTTAGTTTTTAAAGTGCTAGCCCCAACCCATATTTCCATATTACGCCCCGCCCACTGACACACATCTCTGTACTCTGCAATCCAGCCAAACTAACCTTCTCTCTATTCTTCACTTACAACACTCTGCTGCCTGTGTCCAAGCCTTTTCACCGGTTGTCCTCCCATGTCTATAATGTACTTCCTTCTTACCTTTGCCTAAGAGTCTCTTTCTTCCTTTAAAATGCCCCTCAGTCACCATCTCCTGCATGAAGCCTTTCCTTGTCCCTCAACTGCTGTGCCCTCCCTCCTAAACTACCTCATATTTAACTACTTTGTGCGTGCATTTATTTACTCATGTTTATGTTGTATACGTTTTTATACATACTTGTCTCCCTCATTTGAATATAGGTTTATTGTGAGTAGGGATTGCTTCATTCTTTGTACTTGAATGCCCGGTATGTAGCACAGTGCCTACCACATGAGAGGTGCTTAATAAATACTTGTTTATTGATTGCTTGATTGATTGTGTGTGTGTGTGTGTGTGTGTGTGTGTGCGTGTCTAAGTGAGAGGGACTGAAGTGATATATTAGATTGTATATTTATTCTTCATTTAAGATACTCTTTTTATTTTTCAGGTTATTTTGAAGGGTGGCAAGGAACGTAGCACTGGTGCTACTGGAGTCAATTCAGATTCCTCCCGTTCCCATGCTATCATCCAAATTCAGATAAAAGATTCAGCCAAGAGAACCTTTGGAAGGTAAGATGGAAAGCAGATATATGTCAGTAAGTTATATTGAATGTGACGGGTTAAGTCATGAGTCCTCTAGCAATATGTTTCAGAAACAACCAAGTAGCCCAATGACATGTCATTCTTTAGTTCAAAGATGGATAGTGGGATTTGTGTACCTGTATAAATCCCAGGAAGAAATGCCATTGGCAAGCATAAAATAAAGTGATGACCTTTTCTTGGCAAGCCTTATACTAATAAAGGGACAATAGTTGTTTCTTACTATAAAAATATTAGTACAGGAAAAGGAGAGATGGGTTTAAGAGAAGTGAAAGTCTTCCTCTCTTTTCCCCAATGTGCAAAAAATACATGTTTGAATGAAGAAATAAAACAATGGAAGTACATTTTAATTAATTTTCTGTAGTTTTTTTTACTAGTCTGCTCCTTATCGTATTAATTGATGAGTTCAGCAAACATTTGAATAACATGTCTGTTTATCTTTATTAGAAAATAATAGATAAAAGAAAAGTTAGTCTATTAAAAATTTCCTGAACTGTCACTTCTGAAGTGTCAGAAATTACTTTATCTTATCCTTAAGTGGTTCTTCCCCAACTTGGAGAGGAACCATCTGTCTATTCTCAATTAGGTGTGCCTCCCTGAAATGAAGTCTCTATTTTCATGGAAACCATTGCAATTCCGGGGCTTGTTGAATTTTGTTTTATTACATATGTGTGTGTATGCGTGTGCACCCTGGGGTATCAGCAGTAAGTAATTATCCTTACAATTGATACCTCATCATGGCTAGAACTCAATTTGCCTTGGTTCTATACCTTATTTGGCAGGAGGGTTCTGGAAGGAAATCTGACATCTAGTCCCTTTCCTCAGAACTGCCTTCAGAACCAAGTGACTTGCATTGTGATAATCTGGCATGAAGCATCGGTGTGATCAATTGCTGTGGGAATACAGCACTAGACTGCTGTTCCCTGTGCCACTGGTTCTTGGTATAGCATGTTATTATGATACCTCAGGGAAGCTATGAAACATTTTTCCTTTCTTGAGAAGGCGAAGTATTAAGGGTTATTGTGTTTCTAATATTACAACATGTTGTCTGCTATCAAATTTAATAGGAAAACCCCAGGCTAAATAAATCCTTTCTTTTTTTTTTTTTACCACTAGGATATCTTTCATTGACTTGGCTGGAAGTGAGAGAGCAGCTGATGCCAGAGATTCAGATAAACAAACAAAAATTGAAGGTGCAGAAATAAACCAGAGCCTTCTAGCCGTAAGTTGCTTTTTTTTTTAAAGTGAAGAAAATTATTTTTCTGTTTGTGTGAATACGTGCATGCATGTATGCTTGTTCATATTTAGGGCTGATATATTTCATATCAGCAGTAAAGATGGACACGCTCACCTAAGTGAGAGTGCCCCTAGGTGGCCCGGGAATGTCCTAACCAGCAATATTTTTTTCAGAAGTGCAGTTGGAGGTAGCAACATCCTGGTTGCTTCTGTTTTCCAGTCTCAATTCCTACCAAAAGCCCTCAAGTTGCAAGAAGACAGTCAGGAAACTATTATTAATATACAAAGTAGTATTTAACTAAATGCTAAATGCGGTCATAAAACAATAAACAATAATTCAGAGCTGGAAGGGCTGGAGAGTTTAGGGAAAGATTCAGGAGGAATATGGAATTTCAATTGAACGATATTGTTGTTACCATTTTATGATTAGGAAAATGAGGCCTGTGATAGCTAAGTGATTGGCTAAGTGACATAGCTAGTAAGTGATGGAGCAGGCACTCATTTAAGTCTTCTCTTCCAGCCTAGTAGTCTTTTCCCTGTATCACATTGTCATATTTAAATCCATATCTGTGTACATTAAATTATGATTGTCTTATACACACACGTGTCCCTTTTTTGGTGGAAGGTGGGGAAGCCAGGACTCTTATTATTTCTTCTAGTGGTCCCCTCCTGAACTGTCACTTCCAACCTCGCCAAGTCCCATGAGGAGGACATAGGCTTAGTTTGCTCTGAACTCCTCCCCCTGGCAATATAAGGTAGGTTATACAATCTGAACAAGACCCTCCAGTCCCCTGTTCTTCAGTGTGGAGAGGTGACGAGTGCCAACAGAAAACTTCATAGGCATATTTTGTAAGTCAGACCTCTCTGCATTTTGATACCTAATAGATGTATTGCTTTTTTCTCTCCTGTTGTTAGCTAAAAGAATGCATCCGTGCATTGGACCAGGAACATGCTCATACTCCCTTCAGACAAAGCAAATTAACTCAGGTAAAATTCAAGTTTTCCTCTGTTTTTAACAAATATTCATTCAATAACTAGTACATAGAGCATACCATGCTAAGCACTATGGGAACTACAAAGATAAATGAAACACATTCTCTGCCTTCCAGGAGCTTACAGTCTAGTAGTGTAGAAAGACATGAAAAAATAATTACAGCAGAAGGAATGCATCAATACCTACTTTTGACAATTGAGGGTCAGCATGGTGCATCGAAAAGAGTGCTGGTTCCGACATTATCTGGGCCTGGGCAGTTCATTACTTTTCTCTTACTTTCAGTTTCTTTATCTATAAAATGGATATACTTGTACTACCTCAGGAATTCACTTCATAAACATTAAGGTGATAGAGAATTGAGTTCTCTTGTTTTTATCTTCTGTGTTCTTGCAGTGTTTATCATGTTACATTCCCTGAAATATGACAACTCTCGATTTTGAAAGCCAGATGTGATAAGCCTGTAATAAACCGGAGTCACATGTACTAGAGCTAGAGTTGACCTGAGAGGTCATCCAGTCAGAAGAACTATGATGGAAAGGACTTTAGGCTTCATCTAGTGCTCTCATTTCACAGAGGAGATGAGAGACCCAGAGAGAAGGAGCAACTAGGTCAAAGCTATCTAGCTAATTAGTAGTGAACTAGGGAGAAGAACCCAGGGCTTTTGACTCCCAGTCCAAGGCTCTTTCTACTATATTATCCTACTGATTTGCTGTTCCTATTGCTAAACACCAACTTTATGAAGCTGTCTCTACACAGTGTACATAGTAGGAACTCAATGAATATGTGTTAACTGGGTAAAATTAATTGACATAAAATATTTACAAGCATTCTTTTTTTTTTCTTGGTAGGTACTGAAAGATTCTTTCATTGGTAATTCCAAAACCTGCATGATTGCTAATGTATCGCCTAGCCATATGGCTACAGAGCATACCTTGAACACTTTACGTTATGCTGACAGGTGAGAAAAGAGACTTCTTATCTACAAATGATTTCATACAAATGTACTTGTATAATTTTGGACAGCTAGTTCTATGATAGCAAATGATTGCTTTTGTAGGAGCTTTACTGCTAGCAGGAGAAAATTTAGTTGGCCATCTTTGGCATTTTGCAAATTTGGCAGGAATGAATACAGGCAATGCAGAAAGGGTGAAGAGGCTTGGGCTCTAGTCCCTGCCCCACTACTTAGTCACATAACATTAATCAAGTCATTTTGCCTCTGGGCACCCTTATTTACATGGGTAGGTTGGACCAGATAATTTTGAAGGTCTCTTCCAACTCTGACCCTGCTTGATGTTACAATGCAGTAGCATTCATCAGTAATATGAGAGTCAGCAAGATAATGAAAAGGGTAAGCATGTTCTTGGCATGTATAAACAATTGCCTAGGATGGAAGGAACAGTGATTTAATATGCTTGGTAATTTCAGCACTACGTAGGGTTTTACTCAGATATTTACTCAGATATTTTGAGACAGAGAGAAAGTATAGAGAAGATCAGCAAAATAATTGGAGAGTGCAAAGCTAAGTCTGTGAGAAGCCTTGAGGAAAAAAGCTCATATTTTTCCCATGCACGTAAACATTGTTTGCATAGTGCTGGTCAGATGTCACAGCTAAAAGTACATTGAGAGAAAATAAACACACATGACAATAGGAAGAATATAGTTTAGATTTGAACTTTCTGGCCATGAGAAATTGTAATATGTACAGCCCTACAAGGAGTTAAAGGGATGACTTAGGTATTTCCCTAGATCTCTCCTGGCCACAGAGTTAGGAATCTTCACCTGTGTTATTGGGGAAGCATGCTCCATTGAGGGTTTTTTTCCATTTTTTCTCCATTGGATGCTTCAGATGCTTCATATATATAACTGGGTAGCTGCTTTCACAGCCAACAGGAAGCATTTTTGTGAAACATTTTATTTTCTTAAGGTCCGTAGTGTTTTTGAACGCACAGGCACAAGAAGCAGGTTTCTCTAAAGGCTTTCCATTTCTTCATTTTGTTTTTTGTATGTTAGGACACCAGCAATACTGGGATAAGAGCAGCAGCCACACTAGCCTTAGGAAGAAATCCTTAAATTAATGTAAAATATTGTTTTCCAAAAAAGGCAATGTCACACAGAGGCAAGTTAGGACCTTAGGACAAGACAACAAACCTTTCTGCTTCAATGATTGACTAAGAGACCATCAGAAGTAACTTTGAAAATAAATGGTGCTCTCTCAATGATTACATTTTACATGATGAAATAGCTGTATGGTTGATTAAATAATAATGATAATAATAACTAATATTTATATAGGGCTTTAAGGGTTACAAATGCTATACATACATTATTCTCATCTGATCCTCACAACAACTCCATGAGGTAGGTGGTGTTATTATCCCCATTTTACTGAGGATGAAATGAAGCCCAAAGAATAACTTGCTCAGGGTCACATGGCTAATAAGTGTCTGAGACAGGTTTCAAACTCAGGTCTCCGTAGTTCAAAGCCCAACCTCCTATCTACTACAGCAAACTATTTCCATGATTATTATAAACTAATATATACTTGGTGATTTTTAGTATCAAAGTCCTTACTCCTTTTCTGTGTTAAATTGGATCTGATGAAAATATTTTAAAACTAGATGAAAAGATTAGAAAAGATTTGTAAGTGCCTATTTTTTTTTAAAGTTTCCCAAATGATTAAGTCTTCTATGATTCCCTAATATAACATTATTATTAAATGGACCTAAAGTAATGTACCTTGCTGTGATAAATGTATCAAAACAGAATTCTTTGTGCAGCTAGGAAAATTGGATTAGTCAGGTTAGTCATAACGTTTGCTTGTGACCAGCCTTTAGCTGATTTGTTCCCTGTTATTGGTAGAATGTAGTAGAATTTAATTAAGTTATATAGCTATCATTTAATGTAAATATAGTGTAGTTTCTTAGTTTGGAAGTTCCTGTAGATCTCTTCTGAATTTAGGATTCTCTAGTTATGATTTCTGACCTCTACAAGTAGGATTTTGTTCTTTTTTTTTTTATAAACTCCCAAACTCTGATTATTATAAGAAGAAATTTAAAACAGTTCAGACTCATAATAGTAATTCCTACTTTACTTCTCTTCAGTCTGAAGCCTTACATTGTAGCATCAAAGCAGAGCTTAGGATAGAGTTTCCATTTCATCCTTTATATCTATTATCTTACTGCTCTGTTGTCTTGACAAACTTTAATCTCTTGTCTTTTAGGTAGAAAGGGAAGAATCTCAACTAAGCATAAAAATAGAACACTATTTCCATTTCCAGTAATGACTAAAGTGGTCATTTTGTCATAGAGGAATCACTTCCAACAAGATAAAAGAATCAGTGGTTATTTTTAGGACCCATTCATTCAACAAATATTTATTAAGCATCTGCTTTGTGCAAGGCACTGTGCTTGGCTTTGGGGATAGAGAGTCAAAACCAAAACCACCTCTGTTGTCCAGAAGCTTACATTCTACTGGGACCATGTTGCACAACACTGGTCTTTGCAGGTATTTTAAGTTAAAATATCTCTAAAATGAGGATCACAACAGTATTTTCATTGATGGCCCTTTTATGATTCTAATTTCCCTACCAAATTTTATAGTATGTACTTATGTTCTCTGAACTTTAAAAATAGAACTTTTTTTCTCATGTGAAATACCTAAATTCATATTATTGTTAGGAGAGGAAATTTAAAATATAGTCCAGACTGATTATTGTTCCCCCTAACTCACTCTTCTTCAGTCTCCCCATTTTGTAACACCAAAAAATGGTCTAGGACCAAATTTTGCTATTTCATCATTTAAATATCTTTCCACTCAGGTTAGATTTATATCTCCTGTCTGTTAAATGAAAGGGAAGAATCTCAACTAAGCATAAAAATAGCATATTACTTCCATTTAGAATTCTAAATAAATATTTGAAATCACATTGAAAATAGGAAACGTCCATCATAACGTTTTACAACAGAAAAGGCTTTTAACCATTAAATCCTGGTTAAGTTATAAGTTCAGGTTAATCGTGCTGTTTAAAATTCCCTTGAAAACAGAAAAATTATTCTTCCCATTCTGGAAACAAGTACAGCTAGGTCCTGATTAATCTGAACAATGCATCCCTGACATGGTCACATTCAGATATGCACTGCATATTTCCATTGTGCTGGAACCAATGACAATGTCTTATATAATGATAATTTTAAATAGTGCAAATTCCAATACATGCAGGTACTTCAAGGGATTCTTTTTTCACGCTAATTTGGACCTGTGTATTCCAGTAATAAAAGAGTATGTATTATTTAGAGTTTTTTTCTCTGTCTCTAATGTGCTGAATAAATACTAAGACTGACTTTATCTGATCAGCTATACACCTCTAGGTATTGTTCTAAACTCTTCCACTCAAGAGAATATTTGTCCTATTCTGAAATACTTTCTGAGAGATTTCAAAACTTGTTTTGCCCTTAAAAGTAAGGACATTTTTCCCATGCCCAACTTAATTCTGTTTTTTCTTATTCAGCCCTTATGTAAGTGAGGAATAGGAACTTCTAATATTTGCAATAGTGTTGGGGTTTTTTTTAATTGCAAGCTGTTGAAAAAATATATATCGTAAAAATAATAAATCTTTGACATAAAATACTCACTTGCAGGGTGAAAGAACTAAAAAAAGGAATTAAATGCTATACCCCAGTTATCAGTCGAAATCAGTCATCTGGACATGTGTCTCCAAAACGGATTCAGTGTTCACCATCAGTACTGCCAGCAGACAAGTGCTCTCCCAAAAAAGTGAAGTTGGGATTTCAGCAACCTCTCACATCGGCCTTTAGCACTACACGAGAGAAGTGCTATCCTTTAGCTTTTCATTCAGCCAATGTCCCTTTTTCTTCTACTCCCAAAGTCACGGGCAAAGGGAATATCTCCAAAGGAAATCTTAGCCATGTATGCATCACCCCCAATACTCCTTTTAAAGAACCTGCAAAGGCAGGGTCTCCTGCAAAGAAGAAGACAGAAGATTCTACATTGGGTTTCAAGAAGCTCTGTCCTGGCAAGGACCTTGCTGGCAATCCAAACACAGCTACAGTGCTAGGAAACAGGGGCGTGGGTCTCAGGAGGACCTATGCACCACGCCAGTGCAAAAAAGTACCAGCAGTGCAGCCAGTGCAGAAGCAACTTGTATCCCGCGATGAGTTCTCTTTTGGTGAGCCCCATCATGGAGGGCAGTGTAGTCAGACCTGTGAGAAGGTGCTGACTAAATGCTGCTCCGAAGCTTGGACCACTATACCTCCTCATCAGAAAGACAGGGAAGCACATTTGCGTTTTTACCACCAGCAGTTTCAGCAACCGCCTCTTCTCCAACAGAAGTTAAACTACCAGCCACTGGAACGGTTTTTATGTCAATACAATCCCCAAGATATTAGAGTCCAGCAAGATACACCTCCCCTGCATCCTCCTTACTCCCCAAACCAAGATGTCGCTCAACTGGAAGACCTGGATGACAGTGATTTCAGTGAAGATTCTTTTTCACCTATTTCTAACCAAAGGACAGCCAAGAGAAGAAATACCCAGGAATACAGTAAAGATTCATTCTTCCTTCATAAGAGAGAAGAACAAGGAACTGAAGATCAGAAAGCTGAAAGTGAGCAGAGTTTGTTTTCTAACTGCAGGATAAATACTCAGGAGAATGATCTGAATGAGCACTGGGTTTATGCCAGGAATCCAGCCTGTTTAAACACAGCAGAGCTGAATAGAGGGCACTACAACAAAACCCCTTCTGATTGGAGCATAAGGGATGACATGACTTCCTTAGACTCCTCTCCGAGTGACAATGTACCAGAACAACCTTACTGCTCACAGGTGGATTTTGTTCATAACAGGAGGAGGAGTAACCGAGCGTTTAATCGGAAACATGTCCCTTTCAAAGATGAACCCTGTCTCCAGGCTGATGCCACCTCATCACCACCAGAAAAGGACACATCCACATTCTCATCGTTAAACCTTGCAGATCATGAGTCTTCAAATCAAAGAGATTCAGTCATCTTACCGCAGGAAGAAAGCAATAATAGCAGCCAAATTCAGCCGATGAAGAGAAGTAACACTCCTGCCGAAGGAGACTTTGGTGAAATATCAGGGACATCAGCAGAGTCAGCTTCCTGGCCAATGGCCCCTCTCACAATGTCTCTTCTTGAGAGCACAGACAAAGAAGCTTCTAATGAACCCTTTCTTAACCAGATTTCAAGATCTCCTCAGAGAAGGAAATGGGTACTGGATATGAGGACACCAAATTCTGGAAAGTGTGACGAGGTCAGAATGTTCAATACAACCAAAGACCTCACAGCAGAAAATACCATTATGCCCCCGGGTCTGGACAAACCAGCATTGGCTTCTGACAGCAAGTCAGCTCTGCTGCTGTCTCTACAATCAGAGGACCAGTGGCTTTTGTCAGCCTGTGCTGCTGCTGAGCCTGCTGGTGATCTCCCAAACCTATCTTTCTCAGCAGTCCATCAGGGCTCAGTTAATGATCTCTCAGTAAGTGAAGCCAATGTAGAAGAGTCCTTGGAGAGCCAAGTGGGAACAGTGGCCTTCAGAAACACAAAATGCCAAGACTATGTAAACAGCAAGCATTATGATGCAGATACAGAAGAGACCGTGCTGAGCTGGGATATGGACTCCCCAGAAAAGCCTGACCCTAACAAAGAAAGTCTAGGAGTCAGCACTGGGCCAGCTTCTCCCATGGTTCCTGTAGATGTGCTTGAGAAAGAGTTTTCGAGCAGCCCAGAGGCTCTTACAAAAACCAGAAGCATTTGTTCCCCTGTCCAGTCCCTAGACCAAGAGAACAAGCCTCAGAAATCTGAAAGCCCCTTCAAGTTGTCTTTCCGTAGTGAGGAAATTGGGCAGCTAAAACATAGACTGATGCAGAGCATCTTTACACAGGCAGGCCTTCTTGGGGAACGTGCCACAGGCTCTCTGACTGCTGAGCCCATGAATTCTTTGGCAAATCAGACTTCAGAAAACCAGTCTACCCCTGGCAGTCAAAGTAGCCTATTCCAGCTTGTGCAAGAGAGGCGTGAGGAAACCCTGAAACAAGCACAGTAAGTTCAGACTTCCTTCTCCTCGCCTGCATTGTCTAGACCTCTCTCGTTCTACATCCTGACAGTATGTCATTGGCTAAGTATTGCAGCTGGAAAGTAAATTAGAGAAGAGTGTAGTCTAAAGTGACCCACTTTAGAGAAACTCATCAGTTTCCTGGGGCTCAGCCATCCCCTCTGTGCAGGTAACTCTCTGATGTGTCTGTCCAGCCTTTGTCTCTTTCCCGAGCTCCAATCCTACATCATCGACTGCCTCTTGGGCATCTCAGACTGGACACCCCAGGTGTATCTCCAATCCAACATGTCTAAAATGGAATCCATTCTTTATCTTTTCCCCAAAGGTCTCTTCTGTTTCTAACTTTTACTTTTGAGAGTGCTGTGGTACTCCCAGTCACCCAAACTCACAACCCTGCTTCCACTCCTCATATCACACCAGTCATTTTCTTGTCATAAATCTTGTCATTTCTACCTTCACGACATCTCTGACATGGGTTCCCTTCTCTCTTTCTTGCAGACCCTCATCTCACCTGAACTATTGCAATAGCCTTTTAATTAGTATCCCTACCTTAAGTTTCTCCCAGTCCAGTCTGTTCTCCACTCAGCTGCCAAAGTGATTTTCCTAAAGTGCAGCCCTGACCGTGTCACCTCCCTAATTCAGTCAGCTGGAGTGGCTCCCTCTTTAGAAGGTCCTTTGGCATTTAAAGCCCTTCCCAGCTTGACTCCTTCCACCTTTGTTCTTACTTTCCTCAATGCACTCCAAGATCCAGCTTCCCCCACCTCTCACACAAATTCACATTTTCTTATTTCTGCGCCTTTGCATTGGCTGCTTCTCATACATAGAATGCTGTCTCCTCACCTTCCCCTCCTACTTTACTGGGCTTCCTTTAAGATTCAGCTGAAGTTTCATCCTCTGTAGGAGGCCTTTCACAATCCCCGCTGCTGTTAGTATCTGTCCTCTAAGGAGACCTCCACTTTCCTCTCTATATGTTTTTATGTTAGTAGTTATTTTCATATTGTCTCTTTCATTAGCATATGAGCTCCTTGAGGGCAGAGACCAGCTTTGCCTTTCTTTATATCTCCAGCACTTTTCACAGTGTCTGACACATAAGTGAGTGCTTAATGAATGCCTATTGACAGAAGAATATACTGTATAAGGAGGGCCTACATTGAGGTGGAACTGTAGCCTTAGACTGAGATGAACAGAGAGGGAGAATGTATATCTGTTCCTGTAACCAAATCCATTCACTTATGTGACTTGAGAAGTGTTGGATGTGGCGAAAAGCGGCTGATTTATTTCACACAAACCCATATTGCAGAGTATGTATTGTGTTACTCAGGACTACAGGATGCTTCCAGAAACACTTGACAAAAGTGACACTTGACAAAACTAGAGACTTTTGCCTGTCACTCTGGGATCTTTACAGTCGTACATATTGAACCCTTCACTGTAACCAGTGAAGCAGGAGCCAAAGCAAAGCTAGCCAGTACGGTAACCTCATCTGACAATTCCCATGTGCACAATTCTCAGCTGTCCCGTAAGGAAGATATGTTTCCTTGTCAGTTCTGTAGGACTGAGTTGTTCATTTTTAAACAATTTTATTTTTTTTTAAATAACAAGCATTCATTTTGTCTCCTGTTTCTTTTTATCAACCCCTCCCAGTGGGAGAAAAATGAAACCCAAACCCTTGTAACAAGGGTTCTCAGTCAAGCAAAACAAATTCCCACATTAGCCATGTCCAAGAATGTAGGTTTCATTCAACGTCTTAGGTAAATCACCTTTCTGTCAGGAGGCAGGCAGCACATTTCATCAAGGAGCTCACAATCTAATGGGAGAGACAACATGCAGCCAATTACGTACATGTAAGATCTGCAGAAAGGACCTGGAAGGCAATGTCGGAGGGAAGACGCTAGCAGCATGTCATGGCGAGGAAAGGCCTCTCACAGAGGGGAGAGAGAGAACACCACACTTCCTACACATGCTCCCGTGTTTCTCTGATTTCCTCATAGGATGTTCCTGTTGTGTCTAGCTGTACCTTAATATCCCATCAAATCCATGTGCCAGCTTGTCTGGCCATTCTTTAAACAATGGGGTTCACCCCAGGAATTTGCAATGTAATTGCCTGAGGCAATAGCACAAAGGAGGTTGGTCATTCCCACTTGGTGGAGAGGGCAGGGAATGAGATAAGGAAGTTTTGGCACTGGGGTTGTTTTTCTCTACAAGGTGCCCTTCCAGGGAAGGAAAGGAAAGAGATTAGTCAATAGGGGAAAATGAAAAGCAGAAGATGTGGCTCGAGAATAGTAAAAAGAAAAGAGAAACATTCACTAAGAGACTGTTTCTATGTCCTGTCGTGGCAGTAACATCTATTTTCCATAGACCAGAAGGCTGAGTAGCCCTTGAAGCCTGGAGCAGGAGGGTAGCTTTCTCCTGAACCAGTCAAGTCCAAGCCTGTTGGCTCCATAGGCATGTATGAATCATTAGAGGTTTTGTCAGGCCCCCTCCCTAATGCAAGTGGGAAGACCCAAGAGCTACAGCAGATGTATGATCTGATGGTTTAGGGTATGACATGCCTTAAAGTACTGTTTATAAATTCAAGCTGTTAATACTTAATAAAAACAGTTAAATGCCCTATGAAATGGTGAGTTTGCAGCAGTAGGCAGCCTAGAGAGACTTGACAACTGGCCCGTAGACTATTTTTTTCTTGCCCTTGTTTCCTTTCTTTGTAAAAACAGTCTCCAGAAGAAGGCTGGCACTGCTAGGTAGTCAAAAATGTGATATATATGGCAGCATTTACCATCAGCTTTAACAGTGGGAGAAAAGCACTAGGTTGCCCTACTTCCCTAAACTCGATCTGGTCTGGGGGCCAATTTATATTTCTGTTCTCTGGTAAGAGAGCAAAGTAGTGGTTTCCAGGCTGATGGCAACTCCTGAGATTTGTAGCCTCACCAGATTTGATCATAAGTTGCACCAATATTCACTGGGCTCATTGAGTGAAAAATTCTGGTCCTCTCGTGGGAAAATTTATTGTGCCTAAGCCTGTAATGCAAAAACTACCGTGGCTGATTTTAGGGCCTTGCCCTCAGGGAGCTTATGGTCTAGCTGGGAAAACAAACATTTAAACTAGCACTGCAGTACAAAGTAAGTACAAAATGAGTGGTCCAGATACTATCTTTCTGCCTCCCCACACCCCATCCCTCCAAAACTAGTCTGGCTAAAGAGATGCCACCTAAGAAAACTGCCAGAGAAACCTGGAGTGGGGGATTTGGGAGTGCAGACAAAAGCTTCCTTCTCCTGAAAGGGTTAAGACAAGAGTCCTTGTGTTTCCCCAGGCGGGTTGTCATTCAAGCCCACCAGGAACAGCTGGACAAAATGGCAGAATTGGATTTCAAGGAGGAGAGTTTGATTAATCAAATGTCAGCAGCTGTAAGTATACTGTGCTTTTGAAGGACCTCTGAAATTTGGGCCCATTAGCTTCAAGGTGAAATTAGCATGAATTAGTCTCCCAAATTATGCCTTCATTCTCTGCCTGAGAATAGTCATTGGCTATCAGCCAATGACGAAGTCTCAGGACTGTACTGGCCTTCAGACTTTGGAAGTTTGTAGGCTTGGCCTGAAGCTGAGGCTTCTGACACTCTCTTTAACAACATTTATCAAAGACGAAGGCTTTGGTCGTTCCACAGCCTTGGTGTCAGGAGGGACTCAGTGTCTTGCCTGCCCCAAAGCAGCCTCAGGTCTCCTGCACAAGGCCAGCGGATGACTTTTGGCAGCTTGGTGACACCAGGGTTTAAATCAGGTAGACCTGGATTCAAATCCAATCTCAGTATTTACTAGCTGTGTGACCCTGGGCAAGTCACTAGGACCACCTCTCTCTTCCTCAGTCTCCTCAACTGTAAAATGGAGATAATGATAGCATTTCCCTCCCAGGGTGGTTGTGAGGATTAAATGAAATAAATTATAAAGCACTTAGCACAGTCCCTCATATATAGGCTCAATATAAATGCTGCCCATCATTATCATTATTTCTCACCGTTATTATTGTAGATCTGGTTAGTTCCAGGACGAATACAGCCTTGTTTGTTTTAGGTGAAACAGGATCAAACCAAATCCCCCAGCTAGCTGGCTGGCATGATTTTACTCCCTAAGGATTCCCTGATCTCTCTTCTTTTCCCTTTAGGACCAAGCTGGGGCTGGGGAGGAAGGAATAAGATGTCCCAAGGATCATGGAGGGGTCAGAACTGACTTCACCTGCTTACCCAGCTCAGTCAGCTCCTTCCCTGACATCCACTGAGAGTTCTTAATAATGTGTTGTGAGCCTCACACTACACAAGGCAGCTAGCCATCTGACTACTTTGTCCTGCCCTGTCTCCTTTCCCTGTAAGAGTCCTCTAATGGAAGAAGCATTGAATTGAGAATCAAGAGAATTTCACTCTGTCCCTAGGCAGGTCACCTCACCGGTGTCAACCTTTTTCTTCATCTGTAAAATAGGATTAATAATACTTAAATGACCTACCCAACTGGGTTATTGTGAAAAAAAGTGCTTTATAATTCTGAAATTCGTGTACACACACACACACACACACACACACACACACGTATGTATTTTTGTTATGAACTCTTTGGCACAGAAATGTAAGGTGAACTCATCCTCTGTGTTTTTAGTTTAAACATGTCCCTGAGACAAATTCTTGTTACTCCTATTAAGAAAAGGTCATACCTCTCTAGCAGTTTGCTTACCTCTTGAGGTGATTGAAAAAAGGCAAGGGGGATTAGAGTGTTCCTGAGTAGGAGCACACTTAAGGTGCAGTGCTGATATCATCCCCACTCCCTAGCTGCTGAACTCACTGTTAGTCTCCTTTTCCACAGTGGGCCCAGCATTTCAGTGAATGGCTAGCCTTCCTTACCAGCGATTGCAGGGGCTAAGCATTTGCAAGAGGTTGGCTGCTGGAGAAGAGGGAGGAATGAAAATGGCTAAAAGTAGAAAAGAACCCATGTCTACTATCATGTTTTCCTTGTTGTTAAGATAAAAGAGCCGTATATTTCAACTCTTATGGAACGAAGTCTCAGCTGAGGCCACCAATCCACATTTAGATCAGTTCACTTCATTCCTGTATTTATGAGCTACTCTGTGGCCAGGGCTAGACTGTGGAATAGTGTGGGAGAAAACTTGTGTTCCCAGTCTGGTTGAGGAAACAAGACACATTTCATAGAAACAGCTAAATAACAATATAAGGCAGCATTTGATTAAACACCAGTAATGTTACCACCATACACAATTGGGAACAGAGAATAATGGGGCGAGATGACTGAGGGCCGCAGCAATTGAGAAAAATACCCTGATTGTTACAGTTTCAGTCAGGGAACTAGATCTTGAAGGGATGAACAGAATCTGAATATAGAGAAAGAGGGAAAGCTTGAGTAAAGGCCACATTGCAAATGAGCTCTCCATGTTTGCATCACGATGAGGAGACTAGCCTGAAACCAGGCCAAAGGTTGGGGGTTAAATGTGGATGATAATTGAGACACCTCTATAGCACCTTACAGTTTGCTGAGAACTAAATGTGTGTGTGTGTGTGTGTGTGTGTGTGTGTGTGTGTGTGTTATATGTAAAAGCTCCTTTGATCTTTTACAACAGCCCTTTGAGCTAAGTAACTCAAATGTTATCACCATTTTAGAGATAAGGAAACTGAGGCTCACAAGTAGGTATCCCAGGATGAGAAATGGAAGAGTTGTTCTCTAGTTCAGGTCTTCTTCCCAATCCAAAGCCCTTTTCATGACACTACAGAGTCTTTAAGAGATGAGTTCAAAACACCTGTTTCTCCCATTTTTCAATGGTCCATCCTTGTTTCCTCCTCTAGCATTTTGAAGACTTTGTGACCCAGCTAGATGAAATCATGATCCTGAAGTCCAAGTGCATCCAGAGCCTCCGAGGCCAACTACAGCTCTACCTTGCCTGCTGCAGGTCTGAAGCTTCCCTAGAGAGAATGTCAGCCTCTTAGATTGGAGAGGTGGAAAGGGCTTTGGGGGTGGGGAAGGAATACCCCTGCATGCTCTGACTATGCCAACAACTTATTCTTATTCTGGATCCTTTATGACTAGTGCACAGCTGAGTTAAGGGAAGGCAGGGTAGAAGATACCTGTACAGTAGAGGTGTCAGCTACGTGGAGTAGCACCATGCATCTCTGGCGAATGAATCCTCATGGCCAGTGCTCCTAGCCTTCATGTGGACCATGCCATGTGGCAGTGATCCTTAAGATAATGTGGCAGCTTTTTTTGTAGGGCACAAAATGTCTGTTACTGAGTGAACAGTCCCACCAAAGATCAGGAAGATACTAGAGGAGATGCTGGAAGGCTGCTGCATATGAGTGAGCAGGACGACCTGAAGAGTTGGACACTGAACATTTAGGGAGAGGAACTTTGTTATATAAGGCCATTCTTGGGATGGCACTGCTAGAAGTTGCTTGGCCATCTGCTTAGTTCTTTTAGAACAGAATTGGTTCCAATATCTCTGATAATTAGGAAAAGTGTAAGTGATGGGCAGGAGGAATTGCCTAGAATTTTTTATAAGAAGCTTGGACTCTGAATGTTAGGGAGTGGAGGAAGGGTTACACCGTTAGCTCACAGCCCCTTTACTCCTTGGAGGTTTTGACAAAATTGAAGAGTTATCAGTTGAGGTCCAGATCCCTCCCAAATCCCAGGCTTTGGAGACTAAGATTGGTTTGAGTTTTTAAGTTGACTATTTTTTTAAAAATTAGTGAGATTATATTAATTTTGATATGTAATTAATAAAAGAGGTCTGATTTCCACACCTTGTAAACCAACCCATCCTTTGTTCTTAAATGGAAGGCTATTTGTGACCTTGTGCTTTTTTAGCAAGAGTATGCTTGAGATGTTTTGTGCTATGACTTTCCTTGACCATCCTCATCTAGAGGGTTATGTCTGATGAACAAAGTATTGGTACGTGGTGCTCATTTGTGTCTGGAGGTTGCTTTCTTTCCAACTCAAAGTAGTGATCACTCTATGTGCAAGTGGACTTGGTAACAATGCACTCAGTGTTGCCAAACATCATTGTAGCATATTCACCTATCTCTTTTTGATCCTTCCGAAAGTCCTGAGTCAGGTAGGGCAAAGATTGTTGTCCCCATTTTATAGGTTGGGAAACTGGTGGTTAGGTAAAGCAACATGCCCATGGTCATACCGAGAGTTAGTGAGACTGGAAACCAGATCTCTTGCCTTCCACATCCCACATTCCCTGGCCATGTTAGTCCTAAGTCTGGGAACAAAATTAGCAGCGACAGTGCTACCCCTCAGGACCATAGTACTGTACTGTACTCATCCTAACCTGGAAACACTTCCTTAACTTATGTAAATCATGGCAAGTTCTAAGTAGTCCTACCCCTGTGTATGGTGTAATGGAAATTTCTTTGCTAACTATACAAGCCAGGGCTTATCTCTTTAAACCTAAAGTGGCTCTGCACGTGATGTGACGGCCAGAATAGCCAAACAGAATACAGAAATGTTGACTTGCATAAGCACAGCTTCTTACTTTGTCAGATTGTTAGAAGATAGCAACTATCAAGTGAATAAGCCATTAGAGAATTTTGACATGGGTAGTTTTCAATGTGGCTGTTATGGTGGACACTATGTAACTGATGCCCATGATTATGGTCTTGGCTGGCGGCCCAAGCAGCTCACCTCTGCAAGGTGCTCCTGGGGTTTGTGGTAAAAATGGCTGTTTCTGTAGCTATTAGCACTATATCATTTTGCTGGGTCCTCAGTTCACTCCAATATCTCGCTTGGTCAAAATAAGGTGAGCCAGATTTGGGTTCCTCTGTCGCTGTTACACCCTATATGACCTTCTATAGCCCATACAGATAGCATCTCACCTGTCCTTCCTGCTTCAGTCCAGTGCTGCCTCCCTATCCTCCCACTAGGTGTATTTTCTGGTCTATTTAAGGGGATGTATCTTAGTCTGTTGAAGGTGAAAGGGGTATTAGGTACCATCTTATCCAGATCTCTCATTTTACAAATAGGGAAGCACCCAAGGTGGTCACACAGCTAGTTAGTGGCAGAGTCAGCGTTTGAACTCCAATCTCCTAACCTGGTACACTTACCTGTACTTACTTACTGCCTCTGGGAAGCCAGAGTAAGTCATTCATCAAATTGGAAGGGCTTCAGCTAGATTCAATTCAGTAAACCTTTATTAAGTGCCTAGAATGTACATAGCATTGGGGATACAAAGACAACTGGAACCACCCCTGCCCATAAGGAGCTTACAGTCTGCATAGGGATGAGGGGATACATACATCCTATACACAAATAAATATGAGGAATGTACAAAGTTATATAAAATAATTTCAGGAAGGAAAGAGTGTTATCAACTTTGGGATATCAGAAAAGGCCTGATGCAGGTGATACCTGAGCTGTGCTTTGAAGAAAGCCAGGGGTACTAGGAGGCAGACAGGGAGGGAGAGGGAGGCTTTCTTGAATATGAGACCATTTCCACAAGAGTGTGGAGGCTGTCCCGGGAAAAGCGAGAGAATGAGCCAGTTTGAAACAGAGGGTGTAAAAGGGCATGATGTGATTGTAGAGGGCTCTAAATGCCACGCTGCACTGGAGAACCCAGAGGCAGAATGGACTTTGAAGTTCTAGTTCAACCCCTTCATTTTATATCTAAGGAGCCTGAGACCAGATATATTAATTTGCCCAACATTAAGTGACAGACTCAGCAGTTAATCTCCAGTCCAGTGACTCCAAATCCAGTGTGCTTGACCTATACAGCCTCCCCAAGTTTGTATTTTTTCTTTTTTTTTTTAAATGCTGGTACTCCCAATCTCACCCAGGCTGAAGTGTAGGGACCACTTAGAGTGGTCGCTTAATCTCACTGCTTGTTGGCCTAGGAGCTTTGACATGTTACTTTTCCTGCCTGGCCTGATTGGCCCTACTCAGGCACCCTTTGGTGCACCTTTCCTGGAGGTCTCCTTGCTCCCAAGGTCTCACCGTATTGATGTCTCACTTAGTGTGAACAACTAGTTGGCTTAGCCTACTGCAGCTCAGCTCAGACCTCTCAAGCTTAAAGCCCCCAGTAAGAGGGGTTGCCTGTTAGACCCTTTCCTTCCTCAGAAGTTTTGGGGAATCTGAAGAGTTGTCAGCTCTGGCCCAGACCCCTTGTGATCTCCAGGAACTGAGATTACAAGTGTGGCCCACGACAGGAGGGATCTACTCTTGATTTTTGAATAAAGAAGTTACACAGTCAGATGTTTTAGGAATGTTAGTTTGGCAGCTGTATGCAGGATAGATTGGAGATGAAGAGAGACTGAAGGCAGGAAGGGCAATTAGGAGATATTGTAATAGTTCAGGCAAGAGATGAGGATGACCAGTAAAGGCTGGAGATGGTGTGAGAGATGCTGTTTTGGGAGAATTGACAAGTTCTGGCAACTAGATATGAGGATATCTAGCCCTCATCTCTCTCCTGACTTCCTGTACCAAATTATCCACTATCAGTTTGCTAACTATCACCACCTGGATATCCCACCAGTACCTAAAGCATCATACCCAAAATGCAATTCATTCCCCCCACAAAACTCATGCCTCCTCCAAACATACCTTTTCTACTGAGGACCACCATTCTTCCAATCTCCCAGTTTCACAACCTTAAAGTCATTCTTGACCCTTCCCTCTCAGTGAACTTCCTCCCCTCATCCAATCCATTGTCAAGTCTCGCTGATCCTGTCCACCGCACCCCTCACATCTCTTTCTCAACACTCCCACTCTCTGGTAGGTCTTCTTCACCTTTGTGTACGACAAAGTTTCTAGAGAAAGAAGGGCACCGCCATGTAACTGGGGGAAATGATGTAGGCAAGGAGCTTGGAGAGGTCAAAAAGTTAAGGAAAACAAAGAAAATGCAGTGTCAAGGAAGCTTGAGGCAAGAGTGCTTCCTAGCAGGTAAAGTTGTGATCAACTGTGTCAGAAACTGCAGAGGTCAAGTAGAATGGGGGGGGGATGGGATGGGACGGGACCAAAAAACATTGACTTTAGCAGAGATCATTAGTAACCTTGGGCATACAGCTTCATGGTGAAGTCAAGGAGTGACTAAGAGGTGAAGAAATTAAAGTAACTACTGTAAATGGCTTTTCCTAAGAGTTTGGCTTTGAAAGGGAAAATTACAGCAAAATAGTTTGAGGGGTTAACAGTGAACGTTTTCTTAAATGATGAGGGAGACCTGAAATGTTTGTATGAAGCAGAAGAGGAGTCTGTGGATAAGCAAACTGGAGATGAGGAAAAGATGGTGACAGAGGACAAGAGGAAAAAAGGTAATAGAGTCAAAAGCTCAAGGACAGGGGTCAGCCTTGGCAAGGCTACTTCTTCATCAGAGACTGGAGCAAAGAAGAATGAGAGATGAGTGTGGATTTTGAGTTATGCAATGGAATGAAAGAGGGAGCTTATGAAAGCCTCTGTTCTCAGGAAAGCAGGTGATGTCTTCTACTGACAGTGAAGGAAGTAAGGAGGCAGTGTAGAAGTCTAAGGACAGGTTTTGAATAGCCCCTATGCAAAGTGATAGTGAATGAAAAAGTATAAAAGTATACACAAACATTTAAAAGAATGTATATAGTATAAATGCAAGTGAGTGTGCATTTGAAATTTATTAAAAAAATAAGTTGGTAGTGAACCCCAGTCAGCATGGCCACAGTATTTGTAGGCCCATTCAGCAGCACAAATAGGAGAAGAAAAGGCAGAGATGGTGGGAGTAACTTGGTTGGGGTTTAGCATGGAATGGTTGGTGATGGGAAAGGAAGACAATGGATTCAAGGAAGCTGTTAATATATAGCTGAACTGATCAACAACAGAGAAGAGGGAAGGAAGGGAGGCCAAAACAAAAGAGATGGACCAGAACAACTCCACAGCTTCCTTCTAAACACAGAATGTGAGCTCCTTGACAGTAAGGTCTGTCTTTTCTGTTTGGATCCCCAGCACGTGGCACAGTGTTTTGTACATAGCAGGCACTTTAAAAATATTTAATTCATTCATTCATGGTAATTTAGTTAAATATTCAAGTGCCTACTGTTTGTAAGGCACTGTTTTAGGGTCTAGGGAATACAGTCCTTGCCTTCAAGGAGTTTACTGGGAGCATATTACACTTACAGTTAAACATAGTACAAAGAAAGCTGAAAGAAAGCATGAATAACTAGGGGAAAAAGGGGTAATCAGGGAGAGACTGCTTCACCTATCACCTGAGCTGAAATTTGAAGGACATTGATTTCTAAGAGGTAGAGATAAGGGGGAAGAAACTGCACAGAAAACTGCTTTTGTTACTGCATTAAGACAAGAATTGAAATACCAAGTTTTCACAGAACAGCTAGTGATCTAATTTGATTGAACCAGAGTTCATGGAGAGTAGTATGAACATCAGTGGTTATAACTGAATGTGAATGGGATAAACTCACCCATAAAATAGGAGGGTAGCAGAATGGATTAGACACCTGAATCCAACAATAGGCTGTTTACAGGAAACTTCACATTTGAAACATCACAGAGGTAAAATAAGGGGATGGGACAGAATCTATTATTATGTTTCAATCACGATCTCAGAAAAAGCAACTGCAAAAGTAAGACCTAATTAAGAGATAAAAATGGAAATTACATTTTGCTGAAAAGTACCAAGGACAATGAAAGTAGTATGAAACAAAGCTGGGAAAGTAAGCAGAAGCCAGATTATGGAGAACATTAAGTACAATGCTAAGGAGTTTGCATTCTATCCTGCCACCAATAGGTTTTTTGTGTGGGTCTTAGGAAGATAATTTTGATGTCTGGGAGGGCAGATTGGAAATATGAGCCTAGAGAATGGAAGTAGGGCATCCAATTAAAAGGTTATTACAGTCCCGATCAATATTTTCTTAAATGCCAAGTCTAAATGGCTTTCCATCCTAATCCTTTCTCTTGTTTACCTCATATCTGTCTAACTGCTCCTCAGTCTCTGATAGTTCATCTACATCGATCATCCTAGCAGTGAGTGTTTCCAAAGTTCTGTCACAGGACCTCACTCTTCTCCCTCCACACTCTCTCTTGATGACCTCACCAACTTCCAACTAACATCTCTATGCAGACGACTCTCAATTCTACATATCCAGCCCCTATCTCCCAAGCTTTGGTCCTAGAACAATTGCCTGCTGGATATCAAACTCAATGTTCTAGAAAACCCTAAAATTTAAACTCATTACCTGTTGAAAGCATCACCATCATTCCAATATCTCAGGCTTGTAATTTGCATTTATTCTCCGTCACTTCACATATCCAATCATTTGCCAGCTGTCTCTCCCCCACCTTGCAGCTGTGACCTTAGTTTAGACCTTTATCGCCTACCTCTCACTGAAATTGCAACAACCTCTTAATTGATCTCCCTGATTTCTTTCTCCCAACTCTGACCCATTCTGCATACTGCTTCCAAAGTAATTTTTCTGAAATAGGTCCAAATCTGACCATGTGACTCCCATATTCAACCAACTCCAATGACTTCCTATTCCTCTTCCAGGATAAAATAGAAGTCTTTAGCTCTTAAAGCCCTTTACGATCTTTGCTGTTGTTCAGTCATGTCTGACTCTTCATGACCCCATTTGGGGTTTTCTTGGCAAAGATACTAGAGTGGTTTGCATTTCTTTCTCCACCTCATTTTACAGATGAAGAAACTGAGGCAAACAAGGGTTAAGTGACTTGTTCAGGGTCACACAGCTAGGAAGTGCTTAAGGCTGGGTTTGTACTCGGGTCTTCCTGACTACTGGCCCAGCAGTCTATCCACTGCACCACCTAGCTGACCTTTACAGCTTGGCCCCAACCCTATCTCTCTATTCTCATTGGACATTACTTCTCTCTCACTCTGTGATGTAGCTAACCTGGCTTTCTTTCTTTTCCTTACAACACATTTCTTTGTACTGACTGTCCTTCATTCCTAAAATGCACTCTCTCCTTAACCTCTGCCTAAGAATCCCTCTTTCTTTTAGATGAAACTCAGGCATGATCTTCTCATGAAACCTTTCCTGGACTCCCCAACTGCTAGTGATCTACTCTTGAAACTATTTTGTATTTATCTACTTTGTAGATATATTAGCTTAAAAATTACATTGCATTTTATGTGTACTTGTTTCCTGCGTTAGGATTTAGATCACTGTGAGTAGGATTGTTTCATTCTTTGCCTGGTGCAATGCCTGAGAGAGTAGGCACTTAATACTTATTAAGGTACAGTGGTGGGCTACCCGAGTGGAGGTAGATTTGTAAAGTTAAAGGTAGAAGCAACAAGATTTTGTAACTGATTGGACGTGGATGGAATAGTCCTCAAGAGGAAGAATAAAAGACGACAGAGGAGTCTGGGAAAGGATGACTGGTTGTTTTGCATCTGATATGCCCAAAGGACATTCGGTAAAGAACATACATTAGGCAGATAAGGAGTGAGGTTAGAGTTAACTACATTTTGTGGAGTCATCTGCATAGATTATGCTGAATCCCTAGAACTTCTAATGAAAGGAAACCCAAAACCCAAGTCAGATTCATAGAATGTTTTAGCTGGAAAGACTCCCAGAGAGTCTTTGGACACACAACTTAGAAACAACCAATTGCTAATTTGAGGCTTGTCATTTTCATTTCATGCCCACTTCCTCCCTCAAAAACAGGTGAAATGGCCTTTTAAAGATCTTCTGTGAGCTTATATAGCTAGATGGAAGGATGATTCAGCAGAGGAAACGGAGTGGACAGAAAGGAACAGGAGGCCTGTATCAGAGAAACAAGGGAGAAGTATCAAGGCTAAGAGGATCAGTCAACATCAGAGCTGCAGGGGAGGTTAAGGACTGAGGAAAATAAATTGTTTTGCTGTTAAAAGGCATTGGTAATGTTGGAGAGATCATACTTGACGATTAAGCAGTTGGGCCGTGAGGCATTTAGGTTATTACTCTACATTGGTGGGGGTGGGGGTGTGTGTGTGGTGTGGGTGTGTGTGTGTGTGTGTGTGTGTGTGTGTGTGTGTGTGTGTGTGTGTGTGTGTGTGTGTGTGTGTGTGAGAGAGAGAGAGAGAGAGAGAGAGAGAGAGAGAGATAGCCATTGGGATCTTCCTATCCACCCTTCTTGCCACAGCAGCTGAGGTTTTCCCAATTAAAAAGCTCCTAAAGGCACCTTCTGTTCCCTTTTTCCCTAAAGCAAAGGTTCTTAATCTAAGGTCCATGAACTGTTTTGTAAATAACCATATTCAGTATAATTAGTTTCCTTTTTAAATTGCATATTTTATTTTATCCATTTAAAAAGTTTTTTAGAGAAGGAAGGCATAGGCCTCAGCAGACTGCTAAAGGGGTCATGACACAAGAAAGGTTAACTCCTTTCCTAAAGAATAGGTAAGGGGGCAGCTAGGTGGTACAATGGATAGAGCACCAGTCTTGGAGTCAGGAGGACCTGAGTTCAAATCCAGTCTCAGACCAGACACCTGACACTTACTAGCTGTGTGACCCTGGGCAAGTCACTTAACCCCAACTGCCTTGTTTAAAAAAAAAAAAGACTAGGTGAAGGACAAAATCCTTTCATTATTACTTTACTTTCAGGACACCAGCTGAAATTCTGCCTAGGTCCATAGCCATGGAAATTTAGCCAATAGTTGCCATGCGAATAATACCTACCTCCATTTACCTGCAAAGAGAAAGGAGGAAAAAGCCACCCTCTCCTTCTATACCAAATTGAGGTAAAGCTTGGAGCTCTTTTTTGGGGGGTGGGGGTTAGAGGGTGTTTTTCTTCATGCAGAGTTCTTAGGTCACTTGTTTGCAAAATAGCTACTCTCAATGTGATGCAAACTCCAGAGGGCAGCACCAGCTAGGCAGGTAGTCGGTTGCTTTGTTCTCTTCAAGGCTGTCAAAATTACCCACAAAAATGACAGTGAACTGGGTAGGACTGGAAGCCGGGGCGGGGGGGGGAAACAGGGACGGACGGGGACATAATCACACTTTACAGTCAAGAATGAACAACTACAGGGATGCTAAACCCTAGCTAGTTAAAAGAGAAAAACGACACATAAATGTGGGGGTGGTGGGGGGGGGTTGCACAGCAGAGAGTGAACAGAATCAAACAACAGCACAGTTCTTTCCATCAGACCTACAGGTAAAAAAGCCCTCCCACCAGCCTAAGGAAATTCAATTCAACCAAAAAACCTTTTAAACTTTTATTAGTAGTTGTTTCTGAAGAATCAAAATAGTTAGCAAATTACTTTAGATTCATCAAGACTATTTTTTTGAATTTAGAGCTTTAACAATGTACAACATAATACAAAACAAACCAAAGAGACTGATTTCTATTACTAGATGTTACCAAATGTGAATCTATTCCCCAAGAATGATGTGGAAAGTAAAACTGAAACAAAACTGTGAATTAGGGCTGGGCTAACGGGATTGTAGACTCATTCCCCCAACCCCATTTGAAAGTGCTTCCAAAGAAATTCCTGTTTCACACTGAATACTAAAGTGTCAACTGAACAGTTTCCTAGAACTGGGGACTTAAAGCCTGGGCAAGGTTGTCAAGGGCTGGAGTCAGATGCCCTGCTCCAACAAGATCCAGGATTTAGCCAAGACTTGAGTGTGGGTAAGCACAATGGCTGCCTGGCAGAAGAGGCAAAACAGAGCCCAAACTCAATGGCATTCTTCATGCCTTTAAAAGTTTAGGAACCAGTGTTACACTAAGTTAGAATCTAATATGGAGTTCATTTTTAAGAGGGAAAAAAAAGTAAAATCAAATAAACACCCTAAAAACCCTTTCCATTGCACTAGATATGGATTTCAGTTCAGCCCATCTAACAGTGAGGGATGTTTTGGTCAAACACATGACATTCAAAGCAGCACTGACTATCTCTGAGTCTCTCTCAGAGGGAACTCCAGAACACCCCTGTATCTCTCCTGCTCATGGCAAGGGTGAGAACACACCAACAAAGTTTGGTCTTGAATATATGTACAGTCCCCCAGAAAAAACCAGGGCCAAGCTGGGAAGGGCACTTCTCAAAATACAAATAAAATTAATTGGATGGGTGGCATGGGGGCAGGGCTTAAAGGTCCCAACATTCCTCATGCTTTACCTTCCTCCTCCCTGTTCCTACAGGGATCAGACTCTCACACAAATCAATGTAGGATGATAAGTCTCTGTAAGGTACAGAAGTACTCTTCCTGTCTATTCCCCTCGCGCCCCCAACAACAAACCCAAAACAACATTCTCTTCTTCCTAAGGAGAGTGTGAAGCCACCGGAGGGAGAAGGGGACTCCAGGGACTGATGGGAATACTTGGGGCCTCCCAAAGGGAGAGATGCTCCGTGGGGGGGGGGGGGCCACGGGCCTGTTCTCAGCTGGCACCTGCCCGAGCCATAAGGTCTTCCAATGCATTGTCCTGGTCGTTGTCGTGTAATAATAAAACTTCCTTAATGTCTTTCAGTTCAAAGCCCATTTCCTTAAATTTGCTCATTAATTGGAGAAATTCTGTTGTCTGAAAGAGAAACAGGTTGGGGGGGAGGGGGAGAAAGATTAAAAGAGGCCAACAACACAGATCCCAGAGGGAGCATCAAAATAAAATTCAGAAGCACATGTTTGCTTATGGGACAAGGTCAAAAAGGTCACCTAATAGTTCCAGCATATTCCCTGGCTCCAGTTAAGTCCTGGCAGAAGAGGCAGGAGTCACTTGGGAGTGGCCAGTGCTAGAGTTCATCTCCCTCATCCACCAACTCCTTGAAGCATTCCTACAACTTCTAGACCCAAGTCATAAGAACTCATATAGATGAGACCCATGCCCATGAATACCCATAAATTACTGCTGCTAGGACATTTCTTACAATACCTGGCATGGACCATTCTAGGATAAAGGCAGTTTTCCACACTCAAACGTTCTAAAGCACCACCCCCCAAAATCAACTCCACTCTTTTTCCATCTCAGCTCTGGCTAAAGGTCCATTGGCCAAGATTATTTTCATTTCAATATTCATTTTTAAACTTTTGGGAGTAATAACATACCCCCCTCCCCTCCTTGGGAAGCCATATGATCCTCAGTTCTGTCATGACAGAAACAAACGTACTTCTTGGTAGCAAGAAGCTGCAGGGAGGGATTGAAGTCTCTTTTACTTATACCCTTGGCCCTAACCACATCATTCCTTTGGCAAAACACAGACTCAGTCTCCAAATGCCACAAACTGGCTTAGAAAGGGAAGAAATGGAGTAGGAAGGTGAAGACTTCAAGGAATTGTAGTGTAGTGGTTAAGACTGTACAAAACGAATTCCAGGAATTCCTAGTCCCTGGGCAGACATATCTAACATCTCTCTATTGGGCTCTCTTATCTCTGCCCCAAATCCCACACACAAACCACCAGTCTCACCTTTTCCTCTGAACACTGGTACATTTCCAAAGCTTCTTCTACCAGAATGGGATCAAAGCCCTTTTCACAGAGCTGTCCGTGTGCAAACAAATAGTCAAGAACCTAAGAAAAGCAACAAAGAGTCAATTCTCTGCTTTGAGCAGGTCCTGAGGTTCCACAGTCATTTCAGTATGGTCCTCATAGAAACAATTAAATCCAGTCTTGAGTTCCCCTACTCTCTTATTTCCCAAAAGTATGAGGAAGAAGTAGGGAGTATGAGAACTCAATGAATACATATATCTAACCAACATGAATCCAAAGACTAGCGGGAAGCAGTTGTAATCAGAGAATCTAGCCCTGCTCAACCTCAACTGGAAACCTGAACCAGCCAATTATATCATTTGCCATCTTAACTCCCTATAGGAATAATAATGTTTCCCCCAATCCAATGTATCTTGCTTGTGAGGCTGGAAGTAGATAGGTACCAGCAACTCCTATCTTTTTTTTTTTTTAACAGTTTTCTCTCTACTAGTCCTCTCCTACCTATTTTTTTCCCAAGCACTAGATTCTGGAGTCAGACCTATTATGAACTTCTAGGGATAAAGACCTAGTTACCACAACCAATCAAAGTCTTCTACCAGGAACTAGCCTGCAGAAGACACTGCTACTAAACTAATGTCTTTTCCCAGTACTGCTACTGTCAGTTAAAGGAGTGTGGAAGTAGAGCAATGACTGGAACAATAGATCTAACTCACAGGGAAAGTTGCTTGGATTCAGGTGCTCTTCCTCATGTCCTGCCACCAATATCCTCAGACTCCCACTTGGAAATGATGGTGGGAGTTTTAAAAAAGAGAGAAAGAGAGAAACCACTTTCAAATAACTAGCGAGTCTGTGGAACTGAGGGTGGGGTGAAGAATCTGCCTATTTCAGGTTGTAGTTCCTGAACTCAGAGTAGTGACTGATGAGGAAGATGTCAGTCAGTTAACAAGGACCCTGCACTCCAAATGTACGTGGAGTTTAAAATACAATCTATAAGTCTAATCATACCCACTTTCCTTCTCTAGCCTCTCACCTGCTCTATATTTTCTCCTTTCTTCTTCATGGCTTTCAAGACACAATCATAGGAGTAGCCCATGTTGACCACTGTCTCCACACATTGCCGCTCCCTGGGGGACAGTGCTTGCAGGTCCAAATAGGATGATGTACTTGAACCCTGGGGACAGCTGGGGGTGTTGGGCACTTGCGATGTCCTGACACTGTGAGGCATGACCTGGTTGTGGAGAAACATGCAGAGTTATGCTAGAGTGGGGTCCTAGGCAACACAAACAACACTCTGGACAAAGAGAAAAGACATAAGAAAGAAGACCACGCCTAGGCAAACTGTTTCCCTTCTTACCCTTACCCCACAGTCCATAACCAAGCATATAGTTACTGAAGTGCCTGCTCAGGGGAAAGGGCCAACCTACACAGTAAACAAAAGAAGGAAGTTGAGATAAAAACTTGAGGCTGAAGTGGAAAAAATTTGTTTCAGACTGAACTATCTTGTTCTATCCTCCCAGAGACTCTAAATGAGACAAAGTAATAGGTAAGAATTCGTAGGATCATAGTATTTATAGCTAAAAGGGACCCTAGGGTAGACTTTCCCAAAATGCAGATTTTTTAAAAAATTCTGTTAAGAGTCAACTGGTTCCTATGTTCAAGCCAACTAACACTATTTTCACTTGGCATTGATTTTATGACCAGCATTACTATCAAAATGACTAAGTGTTTGCTTCCTGGCATCCAAATGCTTTACAAATTTCAGTCTGCTAAGGATCTACAGTTTTAGGGGAAAAGTCTGAGGCCCCAAAGTGACTCAGCACACAGAGTAAGTTAACTGGAACAGGATCTATAATGACTGAGAATTGAAAAGGACCTCAGTGGCTATCTAGTCCAACTCATACAAGAAAGGAATCCCCCACCATGACATACCCAACAAGGGGTTATGGAGTCTCAGCTTAAAGACCTCCAAGGAAAGGGAACCCAGCACTTGTCTACACACCACATTCCACTTTTATACATCTCCTCTGCTAACAAGTTTTTATCATGTTTTTCCTGACATTGAGCTTAAATTTGCCTCTTTGAAGCTCCCCCCACTGCTCCTAATTCTACTCTCTGAGGCTAAGGAAAACAAATCTAGTCTACAAATCTACACTACAACCCTTCAAATACTTGAAGACAACTACTGTGTCTTTCCCCTCCCCAAATCTTCTTTTCTATAGGCTAAAACTCTCCAGTTCCTTTTCTAGGGCAAAAGAAATGTCAACATTTTGGCTAAATTCCCACTTGCTCTTAAAACCTCTGATCCAATTTGTACAAGTACAACTCCAGCTGAGGCTGAGAAAAATCTTTCTCAGGATCAAGATTCCCAGTCATACACACAGAGACACAAAGGACTGTTAGCTCAGAACCTGTGCTAAATCCTAGAAAGACTGACCTGGTCCACAACAAGCTGAGCAATGAAACTAGGCCCAGGGGTGGGGAATCTGCAGCCTTTGAGGCCACATGTGGCCCTCTAGATCCTCAAGTGTGGTCCTTTGACTGAATCCAAACTTCACAGAACAAATCCCCTTAATAAAAGGATCTGTTCTATAAAACTTGGGACTCAGTCAAAAGGCTGCACCCAAAGACCTAGAAGGCCACATGTGGCCTCATGGCTGTAAGTTCCCCACCCCTGGACTAGGGAAATGAGTAGAGTTCAATGTGACAGGAGCTGTAATATGAACCCTTAAGGCTCTGGTTCTGTCTACCGCTCCCTGGCAGGACCTAAAGGTCCCCCAAAACAGCCAATATTCTCTACCCTATCACCATTTGGTCTGTTCATGATTTTCACATATACAAACATTCCCCACCTGCTCCTTCCTCTGCATCTGGGATGGGAAATAATAATTCCAGCTTACATTTATACAATGCTTTATGGTTTGCAAAATGCGTTACATACTCCAATTGATCAGAGAGGAGACCTGGTTACTGAGATACCAATCAGCATTACTTTCAGCCACACTTGTACCTTCTTAAAAGTATCATTCCTGAGACAACCTAATGTCTAACTTAAAAATACAAGCCCCTCTGGAAGAGTTTAAGAGCCTTTTAAAAGGATCTACTTACACTAACATACTTCCTACCTAAATGGCACTTTTTTTTTGGCCACCCTGACACAAACAAATATAGAGACACACATATCAGTTTGGATTTTTATTCACTTCTTCAGGCTAACTCAGTAAATGCCTTCAAGGCATCAAAATGTCTTCCTCTTACCAATGTAACTACAGATATACCTCAAAATACTATAAAGTTGGTTTAACCTTATTACCCAGTAGGAAAAAAATTCCAGTATCATTATCATAGGCATTCCTGTGAAGGGGATCACAG